AAGTAAAATTATGAAAAGATAAAAAGAAAAAGAAAAAAGAAAGAAAAAGAAAATGAAGAAAAAGAAGAAAAAGAAAATGAAGAAGAACAAGAAGAAGAAGCAGAACAAGAAGAAGAAGAAGAAGAAGAAGAGTGTATGTTTGTTAAATCTTTAGCTACTGCTATGGTTTGTCTTTCTGTGCTACACTTGTGTAACATCTCTGAATTTCTTGAGAAAATCTGCCTGATGTGGTGTTCAATGACCAGAAGAATTGTCATTTTTTATGGCACCCTGTGACACAACAAAGCCCCTTGAATGACGTTGTTGTGTTTTTTGGTGCTGGGAGTTTAGTAAAAGTTATTTTAAAGCAGCGTGATTGGTGCTTATTTTCTTTTGCTTCCATTCTGCTTCACAAGCAACTCTTCCAATTTTACAAATGGTGGTTGTTTTGGATGGCGTTTGCTGATGTCACTTCCCGGTGAGTTACAACCAATCAGCGTGAGTTACCCTAAAGTTCCTCTCAGCTACTCCAGCGGGCCATTTTGAGTACCTACCCCTACTCCGAAAGTTCCTAAAAACGTCTCAGAAAATGGTTCATTCAGCCGGCCGGGAAGTTCCGGTAAAATTACCCTGAAGATCCAACAGTGGAAGCACGCCTATTGTTGCCACAGCAGCCGCAGGCAAAGCATGTGGTGGTGAACCTGCAACCCTCCATTTATGGGGTGCACACTTAACTCCTCTGCCACTATTCCACATGAGTGAGAACCCCTGCATGTGTTTTGAGACAACTTGAAGTCTCCCTCAAGAATGCTATTTGCAGTCGGATTCCAAAATCTGTTTGCAACAAACTGAGAACAACTTTCATGAGGAAGTTTCCAAAATGTCTCAAAATGTTTGCAAGGGTTCCAAATGTCTTTGTGTGGGATGTAGTGCCTCATTATTGTGCGAGAAGCTTGGAAGACACATTCCTGTGGCCTGGGGTAGTGTTAAGATAATTATGTGTTTTCTTTTATCATGCTCTATGCTTTTATTACATTTAAAGATTTTTCCATTTACGCTGAACAGTTGCTGTATTGTTTGAAGTCGCATGAGGAGACTTTAAGAATGCTGAGCCTTGGTCCTGACCTAATGTGACCCAAGGACATCTGCTGACTTGGACAACTGCTGACTCGTGCAACTGTCTGTTGCACATTGTGTGATTAGACACTAATTAGAAAAACTGAATGCTCGTTGTGTGAAACTTGTAACAATTACTAAAAACAGAGCTGTGATTTCCCCGCATCCTTTAGTGTCAGCTCTCAGGCATGTACCTAGGGACCCGCCCAGCTTGTAATAAAAGGACACGGATTTCAAAGGCAGAGTGGTTTGGGGGGATCTGCCGGTACAGTAGAGACTGTGCTGACAGGACCTTCTTTCCATTCTCCTAGAGCATAAAACAGAATTCTGACTTTTGTGTCTCTTCTTCTGTTGTTTTATGATGTCTTAGGGGTTTAAACCTGACAGGTAGCACATACCACCTTGGGATTTGATTGACCACCCAGTTTCCACTCCACTGAGTTCCATTTAAATTGACTAAACATTGTCCACAAAAGGTTATAAACTCCAAAACAGTGGGTGGCAGCAATGCACCAAGAAGTGACCTACTAAACAGCACGAAAAAGAAGATAACAGAAGAGAGAAAAATGGTCATGGCACAATGTGAAACTTACAACCTCAATAGAATGCTAAAAAGAATGCTTTTTTGAGGGGCAACCTCCCTCCGCCAGGAAATAAAAAGCATAATCGTTGGTGCCACCCTAACTGGGCCACCCAATCTTAAAAGTCCTGAACACACCACTGCATATTGTTTCTAAACTTGTCTTTAACCATCATCCAGCTGTACAATGGCTGCATTTTTGTTTGTAATTGCACACGCACGCACACACACACACACACACACACACACACACACACACACACACACACACACACACCTTGACGCAAAGTGCAACTTCTGGTTGATTCCAGTTTTTCTCATATTTTTGCGTTTCCAAATAATTACCAACAGTTGCAGCCTAGGGTGACACAGGCAGTGGAACAGTATCTGAACCAATTATTTTTGTAAGTAAGGTTAGGTTTTTTTTTTTTTTTAAAAAAGGAGCTACAGCTTGGGTTTATCAAGATCTAGAGGTGTGGACTCGAGTCACATGACTTGGACTCGAGTCAGACTTGAGTCATTATTTCTATGACTTCTGACTTGACTTGATAAAATCTATAAAGACTTACGACTTGACTCGGACTTGAACGCTAGTGACTTGCGGCTTGAATTGACTTGCATCTGTCGACTTGACAATGACTTGAGCATATTTGATATTTTAGCACAAAAGTGACACGACATGAACAAAAATCAAAAATCATTCTTGGTTCTGGGTTTGATGTTGTTCTGCGAAATGCAGCAGCACGTTGCTTATAACCAGTTTCAGTTGCACTTTCTGCTTGTTGCTGCAAATAAATGAAGCTTTAAGAAGCTTTCTTACTGGAATTTATTTATTATCATTGTCATTAAACTGAAGTTGGACAGATGACTTGGATATGACTTGAAAATTCAGTTAAGGATTTCGGCTTCAACATCATTGACTTTGGATTCAACTTGGACTTGGACTTGAGGCTTGACTGGAAAGACTTGTGACTTACTTGTGACTTGCAAAGCAGTGACTTGGTCACACCTCTGTTAAGGTCTATGTAGGACTGAAGGTGGAATCGCCTTGTTAATGCTTTCTTGTGCATTGGCTAGTTGTTTGACAGCTTCAGTCCAGGATCCAGACTGCATCATTGCTTTGTTGAATACACACAACATCACATGGTTCATAATAAATAAATAAATAAATAATCATCATCTAATCATTGCACAAACAAGAAGATTAATAAATCCATCACCGGTTTCAAGTAGATCAAAGTTCACACTTCATTGTCACCTGGCCTTCCTCGGCCTCATTTGTGCTTCCAGTTACCGCCCTACAGAAATTTCTAGAACAAACACAAAACCATATTGTTCTGGCAAATGTGTGTATAACTAACACGACCTGCCTCTGACAGCTATTCATAAAGCTCAGCAGGAGATCTAATACCTTAAAAGCTCCGTCATGTTGGCGCTGATTACAGCCTGGACAGCTCATCTCTATGTAATAACAATAACTGGGCAAATATTAGTTTTGCACCATAAAAACATGACGCGAGTTTGAACTGAGGGCGCAGGTAAACCTGGTGACATTTACTATGCTGGTTCCTCTATTATTGTCTGGCAGTGGAACAGAGCTTAAAGATCCCTAATAAAATTAGATAAATGGTTTACTCGTTATCTTTTGATTCCTTAATGTTTTTCTAGCTTTGTTATAAATCAAAGCCCAAACTGAGTTAATCAAATCAGAGAGGATGAGGTATTTGTTGATGTATTGTTTTTTTTAATTGATGCAACACTAACATAAGAAAAAAACTGCGGACAAACCATGGTGGGACATAAACTGCTTGCCCATATATGTTCCATATGGGATGCACCTATGCATGTTGGCTGAGTAATTTATACTAGAGACCACAGCAAATGTATTTTAAAAAGTGCTGTGGTAATACGTAATGCACCAATCTAAATTAATCAAACAAATTTTGCCTTCGACCTCACAGCAGCCTCGAGAGGGAACCTAAGTCTCCTCCTTTTCCGGTCGGCTCATGGGTCCCCGGAAGAATGAAAAAATGAGTGTAAGTCAACGGGGCTAAAAACTCTGTTTTCTAATCCGCTTTGCCTTAGACCTGGATCGCACATATGTTGTACTGCAATTTAAATGAAAAGTAATGATGGGTGTTTCAGCCATGCCCTTTGAGATTTATCAGCTTGTGAAAGTTTGTAACTAGCATGACTACAAACAAGACATCGGCACGTCGCATTTGTGACGTCACCACATGCTCTCCTCTCCCCTAGCGTAGCTGCTACATACCAAGTAACCAGACTTATTGTGGTTCTTTCCTCCTGAAGGAAGAATTTAAAGTTTGCTGAACTTACAGCCATTTTCTCTCATTTTCCTCCGCGTCTGGTTCGACGACGTCACTTTCGTGAAGCACATTTGTAGTCCTGGACTTATTTTCACACACAACCTAAAATAGCGTTTCCCCCCGTGCAAAAATAAGCGCTTTCTTGGCATCAAAATTCTTCTTTAAATTTCACGGACATCATATGTGAAATCCATGGCTCAAAACAAGCAGAATTAGAAAATAGCGTTTTTAGCCCCGTTGACTTGCATTCATTTTTTTCGTTCTTACGGGGACCCGTGGTCCGGAAGTAGATGGGCGTGACATAGGCTCCCTATGAAAAGCAACAGTTCAATTATAATGAGCTTCTTTGACTTTGACAATATTGGAGGTGTTTTAAATCATTTTGACTAGTCGCTAACTTATCAATCAGCTTCATTTCTCTGAAGAACCTGTGATTAAGATTGTAAAAGTAAACAGAAACTTTAAAAAGGCAAAAATCTGACATTTGACGTGACAAGTAGCACTCACAGTTTGTACAAATCAAGATATTGTTCTCCTTAATGATGATACTGGTAGAAATGCAGGTATAATCCTTGGTTAATGATACAGCTTATCTGGTAATCCTGTCTGATAACGGCTCCCTGTGCAATATTCCCTAATCCTCCCCATCAACAAGTTGGACTTGGAGGTCAACTTTGTTGTCTCATGGTAAGAGTCACACACAAAGAAGGAAGTGCATAAGAAATGATGATTAATGACGTATGTCACATTTACAGTTTCATCTTATTTAATAGTCCAAACTTTCTATAAAAATGGACTCATGAACACATTCATTCCTACTTTTCAATCTACTTTTCATGTTTGAAACTAAAAATGAAGAGGAGAGAAGTATCAAGTTGAGCCTATTACTGTGGTGATGCCAGCCAAGTGTCCTCTCATGTTACAACACGGGCTTGCTGGCTTCTCTATGAAAGCATCATGTGAGTAGTTCGGTCACAGGGGGCAGAATCGTGTCTGCATTAGACCAGAGACGAGGAAATGGCTCGTTCCCCTACTATTTAAACCCTTTTTGTGACAGTGGAGAGGAGAAGATCCAGATTGTTCAGCTCAGTGGCAGCATCACACACACACACGCGCGCGCACGGACACAAACACGTAAGTACACTCGGCTTCAGTGATGCTCTGCATGGTTTCCTGCTTGTATTTCTCAGTGATGGAGATGTTGTTTTAGTGAGTTTTAGTGAGTGTGTTGTGCTTTTGTTATCATGAAAAGAAGGTTCAACAGGTGTGAACACTGAAAACGGGAAAAAATCTGTTATTTTTTGACTTTATATACCCTCAGGTTTTGAATTTCACAGCTTTGGATTGTTCTTGTAGCATTCTTTGCTCCAAAATACATTTTTAATTAGGATTTCATCTATTTTAAAATCTAATTAAAAGTTATTTTCCCTACTTTGTGATGATATTGAAACAGTTTGTCTGAGATTATAACAACTGGAAGCCACTGCCTTAATATAATGACAAACGAAGACAAAGCTTCATCTGCAAATCTAATTTTCTAGGAAAAACAGCTGTACTTAGCTCCCATTTGTTTCTCTTTTGTTTGGAAAATGATTCACCCGTGCTCATTAGTGCACTTCCTGCACACTTGGCTTCTGCAAGCAATTGTGAAACGGGCTCAGTCACTGGAACCAATAACACATTTGTACCGCAGCTGCTCGGAAATGGTTAAGCAAGGCGATGGGTCTTTCATCCGATATTAGAGGAAATGCAGTCTGATTAGCTCGGTTCGATAAGTTCTCTCTGGGCTGCAGAGGATGTGAAAGAAACGGCGGTTTACTGGTGAATAGATTTCAAACCTCAGTGATCGTCCAGTTCTTAAGATGTGGTCAGCTTTTAAGTGCAGCACGGTAATGAACTAAAAGAAAATGATGGGGTTTTGTGAGGAAAAGGGTCACACACTTGTTCGTATTATATTGTAATCAACTCATTGGACTAGGTTCATTGGTCCAACTTGACCTGAAAGCTTTCTTCATCTGAAATATCCAAGTAGATAGTGTAGTAGGCTTAGTGGTATGAGTGTCCGCCCTGGGACTGGGAGATCGTGGGTTCAACTCCACGGTTGGGTCATCAGACAATCAAAAGGGTTTTTATTGCCATATGTGCGAGAATCACAACACTTAGTCATACCAAAGACTTTAAAAATGGGGCCCAATGCCTCCCGTTTGACACTCATCTTTAAAGGGGTTGGATTGGGAGGGTAAAACCACTCAATAGTTCCCGAGCATAGCCACTGCTGCAGCTCCCCGCTCAAATGCGGAGCTGTCATTTCACCAGTGTGTGATGACTAATGGGGCTTTTACTTTAACTATCGGACTTTAACCTGGAGTTGTTCTGCTGATCCAAGAGAGACCAGAAGCGGCGCTTGTTAGCACCCGTGGTTCAGGGGTGCTGATCTGGGCCAGATGTCTTAGATGTTTGCTATAAATTATCCACACCTGTGCAGAAATGCATTTCAAACATTCAAAACATCTGGAGGACACATCTATCCACAGGTGAAACTCAGCTACTATGTAGGTGAAGGGGATTCTTGCAAATTCTGCATGATTATTTGCCCTCTAAAGACACGGAGTTCGAGGGTGAGATCTGAGGGTTATTTGCATCAGAAACACAAGTCGTTCTCTATCTCGCTCGCTCAGGATCACCCACAGACAGACTCAAAACGGGCGACCCCCCTCAAGCTGCGAAGGACATCACAGCTTCCTTCAACCTCCAAAATACCCAGCGGATCAGAACGCCCTTCTGGGTAAAGACAAAGTCATCTATACAGAGCCCCCTCATGGCAACAGAAGCTGTGACTTGAGGCGTTATCCGCCCTCTTTCCAGCTCACAACGAACTCTTAAATTCTTCACCTTGGCTTGATTGTATCCGTGTTTTCTGTATGCTGATGTTGCTGTGTGAGGACATGAACGCCTACATGTAATTACTATTTCAGCAGATCATCAGCTGAAGGATGAACTTCAGCAGAGATGTGGCCAGACAGACCAGTTGTTACACGTACGTCATAGAAGACGAAGATCCAGCCCTGGCGAGCATGAATGCTATCGAGGTAAAGAGAAAAGTTCATGTTGAATGTGTAATTGGCACTAATAGAAGTGGTGAGCATTAATAGTAACATAGAGGTGTGGGTTTAATGTGCTGAGTGCAGAACCCTTAAACACATTTCGCTTGTTTTATTACAGCCTTTTGTATTAGACACGGTTGCATTCATATTCAGCAAACCAGAATTTCAGCACAAACTCAAGAATTTTCCTTTTTAATGACAAAATAAAATCCCTGCAGATAAACTTTTTTATGTTTTATGGATGAAGTGAAAATAAATCCACAAACAACCCTTTTTAACACTTTACAATAAGGGTAATTTTATTAACAGTACTTAGTGCATTATTAAGCATTAATAAACAAAGGGTCTCTTTAGTAACGTTCCCATTATTAAGTACATTAAGTGACCTGAAGGTTAGAACAAATGGCCAGGGGATGTCTGCTCAGTAATGCATTACATAATATGGTTAAGAAGTAGCTAATACTTTATTTAATAGTTTATTAATGCTTAATAATGCACAAAGTTACGTTAATAAAGGGACCCTTCTTGGAAATTGTTACTGAACCTTTTTTGGAGGGTATTTTATACTCTTTTTTTTAAGTATCGATGTTTATGTACATAAAATACTCGTAGTTGCTTATATGTTAATCTGAGGTTGATGCAACAGTCTTCTTTAATCCAAGGCCTGAACAAACAAATGAACGGAGTTTCAGCCTCGAAGCTAATTCGACCCGTCTTTTGAATCAGAGCCGCTAATTACAACTATCTCCCTTTAGTAAATGTTAATCTGAATAAAAGACATTTTATTTAAGTTTTGTTTATTTAAGCAGTCAAACCTTAGTCAACACAATTCAGGGTGTGTGGATCGTATTCATGCAGCAACAAGAACACTGTATGGTAGGAAATCAATACACTCTAAAAATGAAATGTTGAATTAAATTAAACTACATTCTACGTTTTTGGCCACTGGTATCTCCCGCTCCGTCTGTGCTAGCTTAAATGTTCCTTGATACTTTTTATGATCCGTTTTTATCTGTTAAACATTTTGGTTAACAAGTTGTTATTTTTAAGTGCTATATAAATAAACTATTATTGAATAATAAGGGATCACATTTGCAGCAGTGACTCGTTAAACGCAGCAACGATGCCTGCCGCAATTTAGCAATGCTGGTGCTTAAAGGGTTAAAGTTATATACGTTTACTTTTAACGTGACAATTAATAACAATGTATATTACTCTTCACATTTGAGCAACTAGGTTTAGTATCGCCAGTCGAATCAAGTCAACTAAATTCAACGTTTTATTTATACAGTGTAGGATTATGAAGGTACTTATACTAACATATTTTGTCTAATTTGCAGCTTTATTCTAATTTCAATTAGTTTGAAAAAGTACAAAGAGTACAAATGACTTAAGGGTTATAGAATTTTATAGCAGGGTCTCTTACAATTTCTGATGAAACCAGAAGTAAATAAGAAAAAGTTTATTCTTCTGTCCTCTTGCTTAATCAATTAATTTATATGTAATCAGCAAAATGGAGAATGCTATAATGGTATGCCCAGAATTGTTGCAGCTCATCAGTAGTTGCTACAGCACAATATGTAAGCAAAACACACGCAAAATACACACATGCATGGACTGGATTCATAACTCTATTATGTTACAATCAATATCACTATGCAGTTGGCAGAGAAGGGTGACCTGGCTCTCCTGGAGAACCTGGTAAGGAAGAGTCCAGAGGTCCTTGGTGAGAAAGATGAATGTGGAGCGAGTCCCCTCCATCACGCCGCCGCGGGAGGCCACGTCACCCTCATCCAATTTATCAGCTCCGTCATAGACGCCCAGGGTAAGCACACCTCACCATCCATCATAAAACACGCAGCAGCATCGGACTTTGCGCTTCAAGTTACTTTAATTTTTAGTTTATTTTTATGCATTCTTGATGCACATCATACGAGGGAGGATTTGAATGAGTTTGCATGTGTTTGTGGTGTCGCAGCCTTAAACAGCTGTGATGATCGGGGTAACGTGGCCCTGCACTGGGCCGTGGAGAGGAACATGGCAGACAGCTGCAGGGCTCTTCTGGACCTGGGGGCTGACCCAAACATCCTCAACACGGCCCTGCTGTCCCCCCTGCACTTGGCTGTCAGCCTCGGACACAACAACCTGGTCGGGGTGAGAAAGCCGAGACTCGAGAATGTCCACATTGCACAACAGTTCTATGAGCGATGGTGGCCTTTACTTGGCATCAAACATATAGAGTGGATTTAAGGTCTAATATTAATTTCTTTTTCCTATTTTTATACTTGTAGAAATGTATTATTATCATCGTTGTTGTTATTATATTGATTTGCTATGAAGGTTGGCTGAAAATACGGATTTGTATAAGACTATTTACATAAAGTTTTAGGACTTTATGGCATTTAAAGAGAACGAAACAAGAAAAAGAATTGTTCATAATTTTACCAAATTTTTTCTTTTTTTTTTAAAAATGCTAAAGACTCAAAAATCTATGTGGAAAAAATTAAGTAATTTTTCATAAACTGACGGTATAGTGGTGAGTAAAATGTCAAAGCATACACTGTAAAAAAGAATACATTGGAGGATCTGAACTATTCTGTAAAAATCCAGGAGAATGTTAATTCCATAAAAACAATCACAGTTCTAAATTAGAAAATTAATTAAGTCCGATTTCTTTGTTAAAGAGACAATGTGTAGTTTTAACTGTTAATCTCAGAAAATATCCATTGAATTGTTGTTGAAAATGAATTAAATGATTCCCAGTTGCTGAGAAATATCGGCGGCGTCATAACATAACCATAAAAACCATGTAAACAATACATGTGAGTGGGTCGAAGTCTTTGGGCGACTTCATATTAGATGCCATGCTTCCTTCTACAGGAGCCTGTGAGGACAAAATGCATTTAAATCAAATCAAATCAACTTTATTTATAAAGCGCTTTCACATGCCCAAAGCAGACAAACAAAGCGATGTACACCAATAAAAAAACACAGCAATAAAACATATATAACCGTTAAAATACAATAAGAATTCCCGAGTACAGTTTAGCAATCCAGATCAGCCCTGTTTCCAGAATCAGATCCAGAAACATTCAAAGTGACGCTACCCACCCAATCCCAACTTCAATGTCCAAACGCCAACGAGAACAGAAGGGTTTTTAGTCGGCTTTTAAAGCTCTCAAGTGATTGGGCCTGCTTCACATCGGCTGGCAGCTCATCCCAAAGCCTTGGTCCCAGCACTGAGAAAGTGCGGCTCCCACGAGACTTCAAGCTGTACCTGGGCACAGTTAATAGTCTGGTCAGCTGACCTAAGGGAACGCAACGGGACATGCCGGTTTGTAACCGCTACAAATCTTTCGCCATTCATAAACATTGTTGATTTACACATTTACGATTTTGCTCGTTGCCGGAGACGAAAGGGAGTCTGATGTGTTTGTCATTTTAATAGAGATTGCACCTACTTGAATTTATTAGTTTTTCAATTAATTAAAATAGAAACTCCATTTATTTAACACAAAAGAAACTCCTATAACAAATTTAATGTATTTAATTTATTTATTTTCTTTGAGTTTTTGCTTTTGGATAAAAAAAAATTATGGATCTCATTTAATTGTAAATTCAAGTTATTTTTGTCATCTTAATTATTTTTTGCGTGTTTGAGACGATCATGAAAAATCTGTTATTTGAACCAGAAAATAGCTGTTTTTTAACAGTGTATGTAACAAAAAAAAATACCCTCCCTAACCCTGCAGACTGGATGGAGTAAATGATTATTTTAATTTCTGTCCCTACAGCTGCTTTTGTCGTACTGCGAGACCAACTGTAACCTAGAGGGAGATCTTGGAAACACCCCTCTGATCCTGGCCTGCTCCATCAATAACTGCGAGGCTTTGAGCATATTGGTATGAGCCGAAAGACCAAATACATTTTGCATATGACACTTTTTGCTCCCTGCTCATCTTCCTTCGTACTCTGCTGCTGATCACAGATAAAACACAGGGCTCAGCTCTGCCAACAGAACAAGCTTGGACACTTTGCCATGCACGCTGCTGCCTTCGCTGGTGCAAAGAAAGCCATGGAAGTCATCCTGAAGGCTGGTACTGAGAAAATAATCGACCATCACTAAAACAAAAGCGCTTACAATATGCTAAATGTTTTCCAAGGCCAAACAGCTAGTTAGGCTGAAAGACAATTAGAGTTCAGCTTCGACCCGAGAGCCTCGAGAGACATTTAGTTTAAAAAAAAGCTCGTTATTGGAAGGTCTTGGGTTAGTCGCAGAAAGTTTACTTGGAGCACAAAATATGTGCAGTGTTTCTACATAATCATTTACTCCTTTGTCTAAAGACAAAGACGTTTACAGGACTCGGCCTTACAAACGTTTGGATCCCAGTTATAATCAATGCTATGTAACAATTTCATTCTCTGCTTCTGGCAGGAGAGGAAAACGGCCACTCTGCAGAAAAACACATCAACTATTTAGACAAGTCCAACAGCAGCCCTCTCCATCTGGCTGTACGTGGCGGGAATATCGAGGCCATCCGCCTCTGCATCGCCACCGGAGCCAAAATAGACCAGCAACAGGTACTCGCACCACAAAAGAGAGCATGTAAATTCCTGCAGTCACCTGCCTAGGGTCTTGCTTTCCATAAACAATCACTATTGCAGACACTCATTTGGTTACCACCACAGGTTTTCCAATCACAGACCATGACAATCATAAACACACACATAATAAATGTTGCGACCCATCTTCCATCTGTCCATTGCACATTTCGACAGATTTGCATTGTGTTCATTTTTTTAAAATCATCATTTGGTTTGTTTTTATTCTAAAACCCATTTGCCTACACAAGTACAGCATTTTCCTGCCCAATTATCAGAGCCTACATGCTGCTCGAGCACGTCACTCCTATCACACCCATCTGGGAGTGATTGTCATGCCTGGCCCTGGGCTAGTGGCCAGAGCTACAGCAGGAATAGCCAGTATAGTAATAGCTTCAGTTGGCTAAATTGATACAAATTACCTCCACTTACACTGTGGAGCAGAGTGAGTGCAATCAGTGGCCCCCTCCTGCCAGTCCTGGTTATCTCATTTGAAGACTTTTGCTATCGCCCCTAAGTTCAGCCAGCAAGTCTAGAAGACTCTTTGCTCTAATGTTACTCCTTAAATTGTGCAATAAGTTTCTTTACTTGCATACTCATCCTTGCATCTGCGTTTATGTCCGTCCTCTAACTCCGTCTACCATTGTGTCTGATTATTTCAAACCCCTCTTTCGCTCCCTGATAACATTTATCTGCTCTAGAACGACCGCTGCACACCTCTTCATTTGGCTTGCACCCAGGGTGCTATCGAAGTGGTCAAATTGATGCTCTCCACTGTTGACCAAGTGGAGGATGTCATCAATCTAACTGATGGAGCGTGCCAGACCCCTCTACACAGGTGGGTTTTACTCATCAGTGAACATGACTGGATGCACTTTCGCTGTGGCGTCTACTTGAGAAGCTGTTTGTAAGTTAGAACGCTACAAACTTAAAAGTTACTTATAAAAAGACAGAAAGTAAAATAAGTTCAAATCCATTTTTCAAAAACAAACCCATCAGTTGCACTCCTCAAAGACTGGAAGAGCTTTGAACTCTCACAAGGAGAAAAAAGCAATGAGCTGACTAGTCTGGCGACTATTCCCTAACCAGGGTATGAAGTAGGAGAAGTCTGATCTAGCAAAAGATGAAAATAATACTTGGAACTTTCCAGGTAAAAGTCCCACACGCATCATCACACACTGGTGAAATTACAGCTTCGCATTTGGCCCATCCTCGTGGGGAGCGGTGAGCTGTGGCTGTGGCTGTGCTCGGGAGCAATTTGGTGGTTCTACCCGCCCAATCCAACCGTTTAAAGCTGAGTTTCAAGCAGGGAGGCACTGGGTCCCATTTTTGGGGTCTTTGGTATGACCCGACCAGGATTTGAACCCGGATGTCCCAATCCCTGGGCGAACACTCAGCCACTAAGCCACAGAGAGTGACCTAGCGTACGGCGTAAGCTGGCGTACGTAACATGACGTCATCAATGAGAGGAAGAGGAGATTTTTAAATATGTACAGCTTTATCTTTTAACTTTAACCGTTTTATTCGCCACTGGTCCAGAACATTTAAAAATGTTGCCCGAACAAATTTCACCAAGATTATTCAAACGGGCCTTATTTTCTAAATAAAAGCCCAGTCTAGCTATTTACTTCAAAAGCTTGCAATTAAAGCAGAGTTAAATGAAGACGTAGTGTGTATGATGCAGGATTATATTAACATTAGTCACATCATGCTCAGAGCAGTTTATCTCTCAAGCAGAAGAACAAAATGAGTATAAAATGTGATTTTAAAGTGACAATGTGTAGTTTTTACCATTAATCTCTGGAAATATTCATCAAAATGTTGTTTCAAATGAATTAAATGATGCTCAGTTTTGGAAATTCATTGGTAGTTTCATAACAAACAACCATAAGAATCGGGTCTAAGTCTCTGGGCGCCGCCATATAGGATGCAATGTTTCCTTCTATGGGAGCTCGTGAGGACAAAATGCATTTACTGATTTGTAACAAACGGTTACAAAACTTGCATTCATAATGTTTTACACATTTACCTCTTCATTACCAGTGATGAAAGGGATCTGATGTGTGATGTTTTGCTGAAGGTTGAATGATCTAACCAAGTACTCATTCGAAAATTGTAGGGATTTTTGACCCTAATTACCCTTACCCTATTGGTAAGGTCTTACTCAAACACAAAAATACTGCTTGCTTGCAATGATTTAGGCGTGTACTGCCCCAACATCACCAGACCATACCATACCACTTTATTTGTTGAGCGCTTTTAACACGGCATTACAACCGACCAAAGCGCTGCACGTAAAAACAAATAAATAAAAAACACAAGCTCAAATTGTCGTGTATATCATATGAAGTAAAAAAGATAAAACAGTTAAGAACAACAAACTAAAACCAATTGAACAAGTTAAACCAGAATTTAAAAACACATTTAAAATCAAACAAACAAGATGGAAAAACTAAAGATGAGTTCATGCTTTAGGAGTTGAAGGCCAGGGAGAAGTAGTGGGTTTTCAGGCGTGACCTAAAAACGGCAATAGAGGGTGCTTGCCTAACCTGAAGAGGTAATGAGTTCCTCAATTTTGGGGCACAGACATAAAAACGTTGGTTACGTATTGTAACCCCAGATTCTATGAGTCTAGTCGCAGCCCTTAAGCTAGCTGCTATTGGAAGGATGATCTCCGCATCAGCCAATCATGAAGAGCTTAAATGTACGCCCACCAATAGTGGGCCCCCTCGTGGTATATAACCACAGTGACCCCACTGCTCACCTCCAATGGCTCTTATTCCCATCATAACCAGTGGGGCCAGTGGCTTAAGGGCTGCGACTAGACTCATAGAATCTGGGGTTACAATACGTAACCAACGTTCTATTTCGTCTAGTCTTAGCCCTTAAGCTAGCTGCTATTGGAATAAAGCGCAGCTGGATGGGTTTACGCCCCACTGGTTAACACAACCAATGGACACACCCAATCAAATCTCCTCTAGTGGGGGACGTTCAGCCTCAGACCAGGCCTAAAGACTGAGGCAGGCACATAAGAGAGGGGCCCCCACTAAAAAAAACATCATCCACAAGAGGATAAAATCCATCTCAGCAAGGCCAATGAGGTGCCATAAGCATTCATTCAGCCTGCTGGGGTCCAAGCACTGAACGAGTGATGGATCCAGAAGACACATCTCGTAAATAATAACGAGTAAAGGAACAGGGTGAAGGCCATGAAGCAGCCTGACAAATGTCTTCCATTGACACACCACTGAGGAGCGCCATCGAAGAGGAAATCCCTCTGGCTGAGTGAGCCCTGAGTGCCTCAGGGGGATCCCGCCCTGATGATGTGTAAGCGAGGGAAATGGCGTCACACAGCCAGCGTGAAAGGCGCTGGGCCGACAGCGCCTGACCAAGGGAAGACTCCCTGTAGTGCACAAACAGGTTTTGTGAGCGACGAATCTCCGAAGTGCGTGACACATACCGTACAAGCGCGCGCACCGGGCAGAGAAGGTGAGAAGCCGCCTCCTCCTCAGAATTATGGGGAGGAGGAAAAAGTCCAGCCAATGAAATTGACCTGGATTTGAAGGAAGCATTAATGCTTTTGGGCACAAAGGCTGGGTTGGGGCATAAAACAGCAGACCCGCCATCCTCCCGGATCCTGAGACATGCGGGAGCCACTGAGAGGGCGGTTAGGTCACTCACTCTCTTAACTGATGCTAGCGCCAGCAGCAATGCAGTTTTAAGCGACAGGAACTTGAGTGAGACCTGGTCCAAGGGTTCAAATGGAGCTTCAGATAAGCCGTGCAGAACCACCGTTAGATCCCATTGGGGAAAAAGCGGGCGGGACACAGGTCTGTTCTTTCTGACACCTTTTAGAAAACGTTTTGTGAGGGGATGATTGAAAACAGATCTATCTCCAAAACCCTGATGACATGATGAGATAGCTGCAGCATATGTCTTAACAGTGCTGAATGCGAGGCCCCTGTCCATCAGTATCTGCAAAAACGATAGGACATCCGCCAGCTGGCAGGAGAGCGCTTGAACATTCCGTTCTGCGCACCAGTTCTGGAAAGCTGCCCATTTAGCAGCGTAAGAGGCAATGGTAGAGGGCGCCCGCGCACTCTGAATCGTGGCCACCACATCATGCGGCAGCCCAGAAGCCTCTAAGCGTGACCGCTCAGCGGCCAGACCCACAGCCGTTGGCCTATTTCCAGAGGATGTTTGATTATCCCATCCGCCTGGAGAAGGGCGTCCGCTCTCCACGGGAGCCTCCACGGGGAGCCGGACACTAGCGCTTGCAGGTCCGGAAACCATGACGCGGACACGCGCCTGGGAGCCACCAGAATCACCGAGAGCTGTTCCGACTGAATTCGGTCCAGGAGACGGGGAATCAGAGGGACTGGTGGAAACGCGTAAAGGAGCGTTCGAGGCCAGGGCTGGTGTGAGAAGGCGTCCGCCCCAAGCGGGGGTCTGTCCCGGGGACTCAGGGAAAACCACAGGCGACACTGAGCGTTTTCGCGAGCCGCGAACAGATCCACAGACGGTTCCCCGAACCTGATCCAGATCTGTGATATCAGTGCAGGATGTAGACGCCAGTCGGAGTCGCGGGGTCCCCCTCTCGACAGAATGTCTGCCGCTACATTCAGTACCCCCGGAATGTAGATGGCTCTGATGGACAGCAGGTGGACATGTGTCCAACACAGTAAATCTGTGGCGACACGCAACAGTGGGAGGGATCGAACTCCCCCTTGGCGATTTATGTAGGCTGCCGCTACCCGGTTGTCTGTGTGAACTTCGACATGACGGCCCTCGAGAAGGGCAGCGAAGTGTCTGATCACATTCCTCACTGTCATAAGCTCCAACACATTTATGTGCTCGTGCGTGTGGGAGGGCCAGCGATCTGCCACCGTATGGGACAAGCACGTGCCCCCCCACCCCGACAGTGACGCATCCGTAAACACAGATACGTGTGACGCAGGACGTCCGATGGGAACCCCGCGTGAGAGGATGCAGGGGTTCCCCCAGTGAGCGAGGTCCCCGCCCACTGAAGGGGGAATCCTCAACATACGTCTCTTCTGACGTATTGGGTGTACCCGGAGGCGGACGAACCAGCGTTGCAAGTGCCTCGTGCGCAGCAAACCTAGCGGCACTACTGAATGGGCTGCGGACATCATGCCCAGGAGTTTCATGACTAACCGGGCTCTCACGATCTTGCGGGGTTGAACACGGGAGATCACCGTGGAGAGATCTGCCGCTCTTGCAGGCGACAAACGTGCTCTCATTAGGGAGGCGTCCAACTCCACCCCGAGATACACAATCGACTGGGATGGAAGGATGGAGCTCTTTTCCCAGTTTATAGAAAACCCTAGGGTCGACAGATGCTCTGTCAACCTCCTGGTTTGCTGTGACGCCTCGTCCTCGGACCGAGCGCACAGGAGAAGATCGTCCAGGTAAAATAAGACCCTCATTCCCTCCGTGCGCAGTGGCTGCAGCGCGGTCTCCAGACATTTGGAGAAAGTGCGCGGGGCTAGCGAGTAGCCGAAAGGGAGGCGATTGAACTGATATTGAACTCCCTTGAACGAAAAACGCAGAAACTTCCGGTGGTTTGGAACTACTGGTATGTGGAAGTATGCGTCTTTCAGGTCGATTGACGTGAACCAATCCCCGGGGTGCACATATTCCAGGACTTGTCTCATCGTTAACATGCGGAAATGCATTACTGCTATGGAGCAGTTGAACAGGGACAGGTCGAGAATCGGCCTCATTCCTCCCGACTTCTTCGGTACTACGAAGTAGCGGGAGTAGAAACCCGAGAGTTCTTGTCCGCGAGGGACTCGGGAAATAGCGTCTTTGGACAGAAGTTCCCGCAGCTCCAGCTCTAGCGCCTGAGACTGTACTTGCGATGTGAACGTCGTCTCCACGATCCCGTTGAAGGGAGGTGGAGTGGCCTGAAAATGAAGTGTGTGACCGCAATGAATGGTGTCCGAAATCCATTTGCTCATGATGCAAAGGCGGCGCCACTCGTGCGAGCGTTCCGACAGTGGACGCGTGTGCGCGGTCACGTGAACAACGTCTGAGGGTTGTGCATGCGCCCTTACCGCCGTCGCCCGTACCAGAGAACTGGGGGCGACCCATGGAGGGCTGCGCTCGAAAGGGCAAGTGAGAAACAGCTGGAACAGGCTGGTCCACACCGCGGAGCGTGGAGTCCGAGAGTGAAGGACGAGTGGGAGCCGGGCCTGTGCACGGGGGCGACAGAGTGCTAGCAGATGGAGCCGCGCACTGTGCCGCCGCGCGTGGTCGAGACAGCGACATGACATCCCGCCCCACCCAACGGCGTGGGGAGAGCGGGACGAGTTGGGCCTGGCCGGATGCTGGGGCCAGAGCGCAAATGGAGCGCACCCTTACGGCTGGCCGTGTATTATGACTACCTGCAGGAACATGTGTGCGTGCAGCAGTGCTTGGTGTGGGGAACATGTGTGAGAACTCGGCAGAGGATTCTGCGGAGGACTGTAGGATTGTGCTCTTTGAGTGACGTTTTTTGGGTTTTATTTCAAAACCAACAACATCAGAACAATCATGTACACACACATTCCCCCCAAAGAGTCACTTCCGTGGCTGCTTTCGGCGAGGCTCCTGCATCTGGGACTGCCAAGACGGCGTCTGCTGGCCCCGCCGGAACCGTTGTCCGCCATCTCGCTGGTCCCGCTGATGTGGAGCCGAAGCGGGAGGCCGGCTCCGTGGAGCGGGCGGTGCAGCTGGACGTCTGAAGCTTCCGCGCCGTTCGTCCCATCCTCTGGCTGAACGGCCGGAGTGCGAGGCTGACCGAGGGTGAACCAGGTCTCGCACCGTAGCCGATAGTTCGGCCGTCTTCTGAGCCCTCTCAATGACGCCCCTAAGATGGGGACCAAACAGAACATCGGTGGTGATGGGGCCATCCAGCATCTCCCTTTGCAGATGTTCCGGAATGGAGGGCAGGGCCTTCAGCCAGATCGCTCGCTGGATGAGGGTCTGCCAGGCAGCGATGCGAGCAGAACCGGTGAGCACAGCAGCACACAGATTGAGGATGGCATCAGCAGTCTTAGTTATGACAGCTTTCGACTCCTCGGGAGCTTCCAGCTCCTCCATCATCTTGGAGACGCCGAAGGCAAGAAGGGCGATGTTATTCCCTGCAGCGCCGGTCTGAAAGGCACACTGATGTGCGCGGTCGGTGAGCCGCGTCAGCAGCTGGTCATGTTTTGAAGCGGGAACAGCTCGCGGGCCAGCGAGGTGGTTCTTGGCGCCGAACAGCGAGGCCAAATCCGGCTCTAGTGGAGGAACGGACGGCCAGCCTTGGTCGGAAAACCCCTCGACCTTGGTGATGGGCGCATATGTGGAGACTGGCGCCTTGAGCTTGGCAGGCTCGGAGAAGGCGGCAGACCAGCAGCTCATAGCAGCGGGGAAGCGCGGCCAGACAGGGTCTGGACAGCGTGTCTGAGTTGCCCCGAAAATTCCCGCCAAATCATCCGCTTCAGGCAGGGCCGGTTCTGGCACAGCTAGCCCCTTGCGGGCTGCTGACGCAGAAATGATGGCGGGCAGCTCCTGGAGCAGTGCTCTTACTGCTGGCAGGGAGGAGCGAGAAGCCACTGGGGCAGAAGGACCCGCTGAGCGAAGCTCGTCGACCTCCGTTATGTCTAGGAGGGACGCCGCCTCATCGTAGTTTTCGCTGTCAGTGACGTCATCCAGCCGGTTGAAGCCAGCCGGCTCCTGACCGGCGTCGAAGAAAACCAAAGCCTTGTCCAGCGGGTAGGAGTCAGCCACCGGAAATTCTTCATCGGCGGCGGGAGTGAAGCACTCGACCCGGCGAATCTTCTCCGCCACGGGCAGAGCGGCACAGAACGGGCACGAGGCCTGCGGGGTCAAGGCCAGGCCAGCGTGGTGAGCCCCGAGACAGACCTCACACTTAGCGTGCAGGTCGCCGCTGGAAATGGAGCCCGTCTGGCAGGTCGGGCAGGGTCTGGTGTCGCTGGACATGGCTGGTAAGTCGTCTTCGGATAATTTGCTCTTTTGAGATAATATTTGCTCTTTAATAAAGCTCTCAAGCTTGGCATGAAGAGAAAAAGGAGGTGAGCAGTGGGGTCACTGCGGTTATATACCACGAGGGGGCCCACTATTGGTGGGCGTACATTTAAGCTCTTCATGATTGGCTGATGCGGAGATCATCCTTCCAATAGCAGCTAGCTTAAGGGCTAAGACTAGACGAAATAGAACCCTCACTCTGCGGGTCTTCAAATGTGCCTTAGGGACAGTTAGGAGGAGCTGATCTTTAGACCTAAGTGCACGAGGAGGGTGGTAGTAATAGAGGAGTTCACACAGATAGGGAGGTGCCTGGCTGATCAAAGATTTGAATGCAAGAAGCAGAATTTTGAAATTGATTATGAACTGAACGGGCAACCAGTGGAGTGATTTAAGAGTGGGTGTAATGTGCTGTCTTCTGTCAGCTCCAGTCAGGAACCTTGCTGCTGAGTTCTGGACAAGCTGAAGTCTAGACAGAGCAGCTTTACTGATACCGTACAAGCAGGATTTGGAATATTCAAGCCGAGAAGTGATGAAGGCGTGAATCACAGATTGTTGAAGACAGACACTCAGGATGGGCTTTAGTTTAGAAATTCGCCCGAGGTGGTAAAAACAGGACCTGACTGACAGGACCAGAGAAAGTACACACTGTCACTTTAAGGAGCACGTTCACTGAGAAACCATTTTTCATTTGTCCTTTTAAAAGATGACACAGCAAATCCAGTTGTTATGTCATAGTCTGACAAATCCTCTTTTTTGTTTGTTCGAACATCCAACAGATTAAGACTCTGGCTGACAGAGTTGAGTGTTGCTTTACAATAACTCTGTTTACATTTCCAGAGCTACAGTGTTTGACCATGCAGAGCTGGCGGAGTTTCTCATTTCTTTGGTAAATATAACACACACAAACACACGTGGTCATGCTGCACATCTATAATGCTTCAGTCTCAGGGATCGAGTTATTAATATTAGATTTTACTGTAAATGCAAAAATGTTACCTTAATTTCCAATTTTTTAAAAAGCACTGAAATAAACAAACCCAGCTAAGTTTACAATACCCTGGAATTTATTAGGTCCGATCATTAATTTGTTCTCATTGCTAATTATTGTCCAACCTATTACTCATATTAAACACATCGAACAGCTTGGTAAATGTTCAAAGTGCTGATAGTTGCCTGCAGAACATCTGTGGCCATCTGTCGCTCTCATAGAGACTGTTTGAGTAGAGGCTAGTTGCTAGGAGGGAGCTGGGAGTTGATTTAATATAAACTCATTTTGTTAGCAAACACTGCAACAGGATGTAAACTTGAGTGTGTTTGGTTTCCAAACAATAAAATGGTGACACGATTCGACAGATTTTGGAAGAGATTTTGATCTTTATAATCTTTAACACAGAAAGAATGATTATTAAATTAAAAGGTAAAATAAGTAAGAACACAAAACGGTCTATTGTTTCATTCATGTTGGAAGGAAGGTTATATTGAAACATTCCAATCCCAGGCAGCTGGGGGGGGGGGGGGGGGGGGGGGGTCAGTTTTTCTCCTTTTAAAAGAGCTAAAGAGGAACAAGGTTATTGTTTACAATCTGTGAGCCTTGTGGGGTTGCCAAGATAACGCTGCTGTGCTTGCATTTGAAATTCAACAACGGCAGGAAACAAACTCCTGAGTTGTTTAGAAACCCAGAGCCAGTAAACAGGAGTGGCCCAGAAGTTATTTCTTGTGCCCCTAATAAGCCATGACATCTTTTTATTTTGCTAGAATATTGGGCGAAGAAGGCTAGAGGCTAACGCAGTGCTAAAAATGCTAACGGTAAATTTGAAGCAAATAGTCGGCTCTAAAAATATCTTAAGCTGCTTTGTCAGTGACCAACAATTTGGTATTACAGTGAAATGTGCATGTGAAGTGAATTGTGAGTCAGTTTTAGCTTTTTACTTTATTTAATGACTTGTTACTCATTATAGCAAAACAGCAAACAACCACACTTCCTCCAATGCCAGAGACATGTTACTGTGATAATTGTAGCAAGTACTGTAAAACACCCAAGAGTGCTAACACCAGATATACCAATGTATTTATCTACTTATCAGCTAACTGTCACCTTCACTTGCCATCTAGATTTTTCTGGTGCTGATCCATAGTTGGCAACAGCCATGAAACTCACATAGGGTGAGAGGGTCACTTTTTGTTCAGAAAAATGGACTGCAGTACCACAATTTGACCACAGGATGTCACTCTTACTTCATTATTTACATATTGCACCTTTAATCTAACAGAAGAAACCTGCTTTGGCATTCATAAAAGAACAATGAAAACTGATAGAATTGTAAAGGTCTGTTATAGTTTGCAAAATGTTTGTGTGTTTACTAAAACCAATTATGTGCAGTCCTGTAAAAAACTGTCAAAATCGAAAGAAAATCCATCCATCTTCTGAACCCGCTTAGTCCACGTAGGGTCGCGGGGGGGGCTGGTGCCTATCTCCAGCAGTCAACGGGCAAGTAGGCGGGGTACACCCTGGACAGAGAGCCAGTCCATCGCAGGGCAACACAGAGACACACAGGACAAACAACCATGCACACACACTCACACCTAAGGACAATTTAGACAGACCAATCAACCTAACAGTCATGTTTTTGGACTGTGGGAGGAAGCCGGAGTACCCGGAGAGAACCCACGCGTGCACAGGGAGAACATGCAAACTCCATGCAGAAATATCCCAGGCCGGGAAGCGAACCCAGTACCTTCTCGCTGCAAGGCAACAGCTCTAACCACTGCGCCACCCCGAAAGAAAATAACTATTATTATTAAGACCATCTGAAAAGATGTCAAGACGTCCTGGAAACTTGGAGGCAAAATATTAGAAAGTAAGGGATGACTTAAAACTTTTGCACTGTGTACATTTATGGCTTATTATTTCTAAGTGACCTGCTTGAACCTTTTAGAAGTGTGAATCTTGTAAGAAAAGCTTCATAAATATGCACTTAACATCCACTCCTATATTAATGGGGAGGTTTCCTAGGATTAAAACTGCCTGGAAAATATATAAAAAACAACTGCCTCTCCACAGCTGACTAAATATCAAACAGTAGGAACTTGTTATATAAAACAATCCCTTGCTTTTACAACGAGAAGTATTTTTAGATGAGGAGCGTTTTCTAAGCTGAACTTAATCTCTGAGCATCAATTGCAAGATTTTTAGATGTCTGCGTAAGCTTGAAGTGGATGAAAACCCAAATTAGATATAAAAGTTCTGCTGTTTTTGTTTGTATGTAAATGCAAAACCTGTATATATATGAAATGATCCCTCACTAATATTTCCCATTTTCATTTGCATGAAATTCCCATAAATTCTCACTAGTGCCGCCTTGTGAACCTCATATTTAACATGTGATCCCATCTATAGTCCATTTAGCCTCCTTTTCATACTCGACACTAACATGCAAATATGCACACAGCAAAGTTTCACATTGTTTCTAATAACTACATCAGCATGTGCCAAAATGAAGCAGGTATTCTCGGCCTCTGTGCCTTTTCTCCACAGGGTGCAGACCTGAACAGCACCGACTGTAAGGGAAACACTCCCTTGCTGCTGGCAACCAGCTGTGGAGCGTGGAAAACTGTAGCCCTGCTGCTGTCGAAAGGTGAGACAGAACGCTGTGCATCCCTACCAGGAGAGTGTGAACAGCTTGTAAGCATATGCTCGTGTCTGTTTAAGGAGCCAATGTTAACATGAAAGACAAATGTGGATGCAACTTCCTTCACCTGGCCATTCTGCAGCCCAAAGGACTGAAGAATCTGCCAGAAGAAGTCCTACAGGTACCCAGGGTTGTTTAGAAATGGAACATTGTGTTGCTGAGAGGAAAATGTCGTTAACAAACTGGAATCTAATTATTCTCTGGCTTGAGTGATCGGACTTTAGCTCAACTTTGATTGTTGATCAAGGTTTTTTCTACCTCAAGGGGACATTGGTGTCACAGACATAACTGCATATAAATATTTATTATAAAATTAAATATGCAAATGTTACAGAAGCACATTGCAAGATGTGAATCAGCTAAATAAAACAAGCCTGTAGACTTGCTAAATAAAAACCTAAAAATCCTCTGGAAAAATGAAGGTGTGAAGGCACTACTACTGGCAAAAGTTTTAGTTTACACGTTTGTGGGTACAACACTATTTATAAGGGAGGGAATTGCTTATTTCAGAAAGACAATGTTAGATCTTGCAGGACATATGACATTTTATTGTACGTTATAATAGTTTTATTGTTGATAAAAAAACATTAATTAAGTTGTTTTCACAAAATCCCTCTAAAAAAGCTATTTAAGAAGTTTTATTCTAGTTTTATTCTTTTTCAGTACCTTCCAGAATGAGCCATTTCAGGTTTCAGTCGCTTTGAGAAAACAAGCTGGAGCTGGCAAACGCCAGTATTATCAACCAGTATCCAACTTACCATTTTTAAGCAAAATTTTAGAAAAGCTTGTTTTAATTGAACTTAATGATTTTATCGACACCCCCATAATGTCTTTGAAAATTTTCTGTCTGGTTTTGGGATGAACCACAGCACCGAGACGTCCCTTCTGAAGATTTTAAATGATTTTAGAGTAAATTATGATAAACGGAAGGTAACTGTGTTGGTTCTACTGGATCTAAGTGCTGCCTTTGACACAGTAGACCACACTATTCTTTTAACTCGTTTGAAACGGATCGGCCTCTCTGGTGCTGTTTGCCGATGGTTCACTTCCTACCTCACAGAGAGGACTTTTATGGTGAGTCTGGATACTTGTTCCTCTATGGTTCATGGGATTACATGTGGTGTGCCCCAGGGTTCAGTTTTAGGCCCAGTGCTTTTTAACCTTTATATGCTCCCTCTTGGCAGTGTCATCAGGAGACACGAGGTGAATTTCCACAGTTACGCTGATGATACACAGTTGTACATCTCTGTGTCTCCTGATTACACACGGCCAATGGACGCACATTTTAACTGTATTTTAGACATTAAATCCTGGATGGCAGAAAACTTTCTCCAGCTCAACCAGGATAAAACTGAAGTTTTAGTTATTGGTCCTGAGGCCCAGAGAGAGAAGCTTTTACCAAAATTACAATCACTGTCTCTTAATCCATCTTCACAAGTGAAGAACCTGGGTGTCATCCTTGACTCTGAGCTGACTTTTATCCATCATACTAAAAATATCACCAAAATAGGTTTTTATCATCTAAAGAACATCGCCAGAGTCCGCCCCATTCTCTCTCTGGCCAATACGGAGACGCTGATGCATGCTTTTATCACCAGTAGGATAGATTACTGCAATGCCCTTCTTTCTGGTCTTCCTAAAAAGAGGATTTCAGGTTTACAACTATTACAAAACTCAGCAGCACGTGTCCTGACGAAGACCAGGAGGTGGGGGCGCATCACTCCAGTTTTAGAATCACTGCATTGGCTCCCTGTATGTTTCAGGATAGATTTTAAAATACTTTTAACGTTTTTTAAGTGTCTTAATCGTCTTGGGCCTTCTTATCTTTCAGAACTGCTTTTATCGTATAAACCCACGCGGTCTCTGCGCTCCTCTGGCAGCCGTCTCCTTGTCATCCCTAAAGTCAGGACTCATATTCATGGCGAGGCGTCCTTCCAGTATTACGGTCCTTGCCTCTGGAATGAGCTGCCAGGGGACCTCAGAGCCACAGAGAACGTTCATGTTTTAGAAACAGGCTCAAGACCCATCTTTTAGCTTAGCTTTTAACTGATTACTATAACTTTTTAAATAAATTTATTAATTAGTTAGGTTATTTATTTATCTATTTATTTATTTTATGTATTCTTTTTTAAACAGAGTTATTATTTATTTATATATATATATATTTTAAACCATAGATTAATGATCAACAATATTTTAATGTCTATATAACTTTTTATTTACAATTTTGATTTTAGCTCTCATTATTTTATATTTTAACCTTAATTTAACCTTTTTCCAGTGTTTCCTCTGTGGGAGCCCTCTGCCCCGGGGGCGGTGGTCGGCTGTGGCGGCCTGGGTGCTTTCCAGGTGTGCCTAGGTGAAGGTGGGGTCTCCGCCCTCCCTGCCCTGGGCGCCCTGTGTCGGTGCCTCTGCTGCTGCTGTGGATCTTCTGCTGTCGGGGCGGATGGCTCCCCTGATGGCGTTTCCTTATCTTAGTTGGTCTGGCTCATCTAAACTCAGTCCATTGTGTTTTTTCCATGTGTGTGTGTGGGGGGGGGGGGGGGGGGGGGGGGGGGGGGCATGTGTGCACGTGTGTGTGTGTGTGCCGGAGGATGAGTGTTGTGAAGGGGTTTTTAAATTCTGGGGATGGGAGGGAATGTGGGTATGTGGGGCCTTTTTACATGCATTGTATGATTAAGTGCTATATAAATAAAGTTTGATTTGATTTGATTTGATTTGATCTATTGACATAAAAAAATTACAGAAGGTAACAAAAGACGTTCCATATAGTAGTGGAGCCACTTGTTTTGCAATTGTGAGGCTGAGCCAGCATACATAGTTGGGCACCATATGGAATATGTATGGGCAGTGTGGGTCTCAACTGGTTTCGCCCATTGTTTCCATGGTAGCCCCACAAAGATTTTAATGGACCAAGCAATGGATGAGTCAACCCATCAGGGTCCTTCTGAAAAGCCATGTAGTTAAAATCTAACTGGGCAAATCCCTGTGAGGCAACAATGGAAACTGCGGACAAAACTAGTTGAAACCCATACGGTTTGCTTATATATAGTCCATATGCTGGCAGGGCAGTAGCCCACTTGCAGACCCACCCTGATGTCTAGGTGCTAACTCTTAACTCCTGTCTGACTTCAGTGTAGCAACGTGAAGGTGTTGCTGAGCTGTGAAGATAACGAGGGCTGCACCCCGCTGCACTATGCCTGCAGACTGGGTATCCATGACTCAGTGAAGAACATGTTGGGCCTCTCGGGGCAGGTCGGCCTTGCTTGCAAGTCCAAGGACAAGAAATCTGCTCTGCACTTTGCTGCGCAGTAAGTTTGACTGGTCCCCGAGGGGCGTGATCTACCAATAATGCAAACACTGGTTTGACTGGATCATTTCTGGATTTTCTGAGTTGACACACATTTGTTTCTACCCAGTTTCCACTGGAATCCCATTTTTGTTCCCATTTTGTTGGAGACGCACAAAAAAAGCTAAAAAGCACCACTCTGACTTTGATCGATGATGGCAAAAGAGAAGAAATTATCCATCCAAAAGATTGCCTCCTCAGAATAAGACTGACTTTTGATCCAAACCCATAAAACAAAGATTTCACTTCATCTCTGTAGTTAAACACCAGTAGACGGGTGATAAACGACAGCTGTGGCTGCATCTAAGTTTCATCACACTGTCCGCTTGTTTTACCCCAGTGAGAAATCTCTGCACTCACAAGCCTTCTTTTGAAGATGAATTGTGGTAACACGGCTATAATTCAGTGACCTGAAGTAGCCGTCAGAAGAATGGAATTCAATTAGCCAAGAACATGTGAAGAATCGCTGTAAAAAAGTGTAAAAAAAGTGAACATCAAACATTATTTCTATAGATTTTTCTATCATGCACATCCATTTCATTAGTGCCAGAGGGCAGAAGATGACCACGATGACATCATACCACAAAATACTGCTTAAAAGCTTCAGACACAGATAAAGATCCTTATCCCAACAGCTTTTAGCCCCAGAAGTTGTTACTGCACCCATTCAGGTTTACGCCTTTAAAACTACATATTCATATTATTTCTTATTTATTAGAAAATAATAGAACACAGTAGAATAGAATAGACGTTATTGATCCCACAGTGGGGAAATTCACTCATTACAGCAACACATACACTTACAGAAAAGGAAGAAAAATAATAAGATTACAGGTAAACACACAGAGGCAATAAGCTATTATTATAACCTTCAACCACTAAAACCAACGAATTAAAAGAAAACATGGGTTTCCAGAGCTAAGCAGCATAAGGGACACAAACATACTTATGTATACCTGGTACTGTACAAGTACTGAACACATACTGAATATGGCATTAATGTTATTGTGTAACAATATGAGGCCAGTACCAGTCAAACTAGGGTGTTATACACGCACTTACATGCATTAACGCTGTTTTAGTTAGTTTTCTGCCTTTTGAAGCTATAACGATTCGTTAGTTACATCTTACGTAATGAACCATAAAATGTGAGATTCCATAGAAAATATGAAATCAATTTGATGTATCTTTGAATATTACTTTTAACAGAAGATCGGAACTTTTTAGGGATTAGGTAACACTTCGTATTAACCCTGAGTCAAAAGAGAGAGAGAGAGAGCAGTTTTAAAGTTTAAGAAGATTTATTTCTAAACTGTTTAAACAAGACTAACTAACTTTAAACACTGTGATGAATGGATCTAGGTGTGAATGAGGCAAGATGGATGGTGGAAGGTGGAATGTTGTTATCAGAACTCTCGTTTCCGGAGAAGCATTAGTTCTGTGTGGGAGTGAATGTTTTGCTCTAAACTACATTTGGAGTTTCATAAACCACATTCAGACGCCATATTGCCGCTCTACATACCCTTGGCGGAGACTTCAGTTTTAGATCCAGAATGCCAGGTCCTCGGACCCCTCTCTTGGTACCGGAGCCGATGAAACAGCGTACGGTACGACAGACTAGTCTTGGAATGCCTCCAGGTAAGCAACAGGTGTTCGACAGCGTCGGCGGGACCCTAACGGGTCAGTGAGTTCAGCTCTGAAGGAGCGTTGCGTTCAGGTGTAGCTTGCAACAGGTTTTATTGTCCAGCTTGTCAAGGTTCTTTGTGGTTAAAAAGTTACGAGTGGCCGGCTCGAAACTCTAGAACGTTTGAACATTGAGTTAAGGATGACGTGGGAATTAGTTTTATAATTCAGATGTTTTGATTTATGGTTGAATCAGGATTTGACAACCAAAAGGGTTTTTTTTATAAACACCGCACAGACCACGCCACGCGTCAGAAAGGAAAGCTCTGATTGGACAGACAAAATGAATGTGTCATGTGATCTTAACATTACGTGTGATCAGTCTAGTGTCTAGTTTAAAATTATATTACTTATTATATACTGTCATAGGATTATAATATCAAGTAATTAATATTCTCATTTCACAGATTGATTGAACATTGGGCTTCACATGATTATTTGGACTAACAAAGTTATTTGATTATTATTTAAAGAAAAATAGTTTTTGATCTTCTTTCTTGTGTTGTAGGGGGAGGCAAATAGCTAGTGAAAACAGTTTAGATGCAGAGGCATCAAAGGCCTTGAGCAATATCTCAAGGAGATTAGTTCTTCATGAGGTGAGAGGGGAGATGACCTTTAGGTGGAAAACACTCCCTTCATGACGTTACAACGCGATCGCTTATGTGTTTAGAAGTTGTTTCATTGGATACTTTAGTAATCTGTTGGGACTGATGTGCTAACAGTAAATCCAAATAAAGCAGGGGACAAAGTGCATAACTGTGATTGCTGGTTTCGGATTATGTTGGTATTAGAAATTAAGATTTACAGTATGTTGGTATATACGATGTTAACAATCTTTAAGAAAATCTAACTACAATAGGTAAGATAATGATTATCTAGATGTTTACTCAGAACATTTCAGAATGGACAAATTCATTTAATTCAGAACTACAGGTCATAATATTATGGCTAACTGGTGATAGAGGTCCAGATAGCGTTTTGAGCTAAAATAAAGGGGAAGAAATGATATCCACGACTATTGTCATAAATTTCAGGCACAAACTGTTAAAAACGCTGTATGTTGGCTTGATCTAAAGTTATGTCACATCTCATTGAGGAAGCAGGACTGAAATACAGACTAGCAAGGATCAGCTGGATGGGAAACAAAACCTAAAATTTTAATAAAAACAAAAATCTCCCGAAAACAGATAAACAAAATATCACAGTATCAGAGGACAACACCCTAACCCAAAACAGATAATATTAAAGAATTCCTGTTTGGTTCTCCAACGCCACCATCTAGAGGCAGAAAAATGCACTACTTCCTTGTTTATGGCTAATGCTAACAGATAATGCTAATGGCTAATGCTGAGTGGTGCTCAATTTAAGTTGCATGGGGTTCTATGGGAAAGGGGAGAGGCTTAGTAAAATAATAAAATAAAACTACATGTTGCCTACATTATATCACAGTCCAGGATGAGATCATCACTTTTATGGATTTCTAAGGAAATCATAGATAATTGCTGAAAGTGGGACAACTCCAGATTGCTGCTTTAAGGACACTTACCGTAATGCTAAGAGAAGTTATTTAGCTAACTCATTATTTCTCTCTTCCTGAAGGTACGGCCGCATCAACACCTGCCACAGGTTACTGGAGACCATCACAGACTCTCGCCTTCTAAATGAAGGTGACGAACGCGGCCTGACACCACTCCATTTGGCTTCAAGAGGTGGACACACCAAGGTGGTTCACCTGCTCCTGCGTAAAGGAGCACTTTTCCACAGGTACCCCCAAACATATAGCATGTACTCAAATGCACACAAATAAAAAAATCTATTTACACTGTTGATTTTTTCTTACAGTGATTACAAAGGGTGGACTTGTCTTCACCACGCTGCTTCTGAAGGGTACACACAAACAATGGATATCTTACTGTCATCTAATATCAAGCTGCTGGATAAAACCGATGAGGATGGGGTAATAAATGGTTTTATAAGCTGATTATTATTTTTATTAATTTGTTCCCTTTTTTCCACTGATGAGCTTACCTGTCTGTTTAAAGGTAACACATGTAGAATCTGTTGTTGTTGTTGACTTGGCAGAACACTGCACTCCACATCGCTGCGAGAGCGGGACATGTGGCTGCGGTCAAAATGATGCTCAACAGAGGGGCGGAGATGGTCCTGAACAAGAATCACACTTCGTTCCTCCACGAGGCGCTGCAAAACGGGAGGAAAGATGTGGTGAACACGGTGATTGACAGTGACAGGTACCTCACCAAAACAACGTAAACCTTCTATAACCGTTGTAGTGGGTTCAGAAAGCGCCATTTTTAAAATCACCATTTTGTTTTTGTAAACCAGTTCTGTAAAAGTTCGCAATAATTCTAATCTCACTCATTGTAGATGGCTTCCTGAACAGCCTCAGTTTGGAGAAATGGCTTTTCATGACCTTCAGGACTGAGGAGCTAATTGCCAAAAACAATTTGCAATGCTGTCTTCTTATGACAGCTCGAGCTTTTTTGTAGTTTGAGCAACTTTCATCATTAGCTATCACAAAAGCTGCCGCAAAATGTTGGATTTCAAGTGCAGCCAGAAGTCACTGAGAAACTTTTTCAAACATGATCTGTCACTCAGATTTACATGCAGACTGAATGTCAAAATTGTCTTCTACCCGAAAACAGACGAGAAAACGCTCGGATCAGAAAAAGCCACACAGATTTAAGTCACGCAGTAAATTAGCATTCATGGATTCACCTGCCTTAGCCCGCAACACAGAGGGCTGTTGTTGATTTGCATCTAGGAGAAAGCAGAGCATGTCTAAGCAAGTAGAAGCTGCCGTTAGCAACTCCACAACATGGCAGAACTCCTCCAGGCTTGTGTTACTTGTCGAGATAAAAACATCAACGTTGCATATTTTGCCCACGAAAAAATGGAGGCAGCGTAAGTGTCATGCTGCTGTTAGCCAATCAGAGGCCAGATGTACAAATATCATATCATGAAAACCTGCAGTTTTCTGCTCCTCGCTTTTAAACAAATGGTCTATTTTTTGTCCAAATAGACCCTTATCTAAACTCCTTTCCTTTCAAAATAAAACAGCTCCAGTCTCCAGACCTGTGTGAAAACATTTTACTTTTTCTTTTATTACTGCCATTCATTTTAAATTGTGCTGTAATTTCTGCAGAAATATTAAAAATTCCTTTATGTATTGACCCTGGATGCAACAAAAATCCTACATTTAACTTCCTGTGGTCATGTTTACATCTGTAAATAATAACAGAAGGCAAATTTAAAGTTTAAAAGTTCAGAAAATGATGTTCCAAGAATTTCTATGTTGAGAAGTGGAGTTGTTTTATTATGACAATGATATGCTTTGGACTTGGCAACCTGTTAGGACAAAAGTCCTGTAGGATGTGAAAATTTCACCGAACAGAGGCTGTTCAGAAAGCTCTATAATGAAGGTAATAGCTATTATTCATTATATTACTTATCATATTTTTTTATGAGAAAACATCATTTAAGAATATTAGGAAAAAATAAAAAGTGACTAGAAAATGTAATATAACTTCACTGGGATAATGGAGATTATATTTTATTTTAGTAGTGTTGATCTGGCTTTACCGTTCATTCCAAGATTCTCCTTTTCCAGATGTGACGAGGCTTTGAGTTTGTTCATCCAAGACTCGGGTCAGCGGTGCCCCATTCTGGACATGATTGAGTTTTTGCCAGAGACCTGCAAGGTTTTTGCCAATGCCCCCTTTTAAAACAATATCTCTGCACTCAGTCATCATTCGTCATGCTTTTGCAGATTTTTGTGATGCTTTCAAATGAGACATAGAGCTATGTCACTCTGATTTCTTCCACAGCATCTGCTGGACCGCTGCGTGAGGGAGTCTGACGACGACCACAACAGCCCAGATTATCACGTAATTTGTCCGAACCCCAGTGGAAACATAAAAATACTTGCATTTAATTTTTTTATTTTTCAAAAACTGATAAAAAATGTTCATGTTTTGTAGATTGAATATAGTTTCAGATGGCTTCAGGCTCCAATTTCAGCAAAGAAGTTAACAGATACGACCTACAGAGTTCAGCCGCTTGCTGCTGTTAATGTAAGCAACGTTCAACGTTCTTTAAGGTGTGGAACAATGAAAAGATGTTTTAAATGATTATTTCTGATTATAATTGGGCTGAACATGAAAATAGTCTCCTACACCAAACTCCTGCATTAGCTTCTGATGGAAAATAGACGGTGAAACTTTAGGATTTGAAAAGCCTGACAGATCTACATCACACTGTCACTGAACATTCATGGACTCACAACAAGAAGGATGTTGTTGGATTAGCGTCCTGGAAACAGCAGAGAACGTCTCGGCTAGTAGAAGCTAACCGTTAGCATTAGCAACTCCACCACACAGCAAAACTCCTGTGGAGATAAAACATCAATGTTGCAGAGCAAACAGAGTCTGGACGCACACAGAAAGTCTAAATCGGTGTGTTTTCTGAAAGGAGTTTGATTTTTATCAATTTCAGCAACTTGTTGAGTTAAATGTATTAATCTCTTAACTGTTTCTTACTTTGACTGCAGGCAATGGTGCAGTACAACCGAATCGAGCTCCTCAACCACCCCATCTGCAAAAAGTACCTGGCTATGAAGTGGTGTGTATCTTTTTATTTAGAGAGAACATGATTGCTTCTATTTATTCGGCAGATGCCTCAAAGCCATTTACAATTGTGCATGTAACAGTAAGGTAGTTCTTTAACCAAACGTTTAGCCTGTGGGATGACACCAGAAATAAAAACACACATACATGGGCAGAACATTTGAACTCCCTTCTTTTCTTGATTCTTATGCATTTACATAGAAAATCAAACGTTTGTTATCTACCTTGATTCATTAGCTGATTGTTTGGTGCTGTCGCCTTCATCAGAGCTCCCACAGGTGTTACTGTGGTTCCTTCTGCTGCTGCTTATGTCTGGGCAGTAGGGCGATGTCGCCCTCTACTGCCCGTGTCCTTCCTGAGCACCACATCCCGTGTGTGGTCACACCTTTGTCTCTATTCACAGTTAGCAGCATGGATCTCCCTATTTCAACCACTTCCATGACCCATCCTTTGAGTTTTTCTTATTCTGTTTTTATGACTCTAGAGTTGTGGTCCGTTATGTGGTTTTTCTTTGCATAGCAATCTGTTACGGCCCATTTCTTGATTGTGTTGACCGCCTTTCGTTTTGTGGCTCTTGTGTGTTTTTGTTGGTTTGTTCTTCACATTCTTGTCTGCATTTCATTTTTGGTGTTATAAATGATCATCCTGTTTCTCCTACATATGTGTCATTGTAGAGTTTGCATGGGATCTTATGTAGCATGTTGCATTTTTGGTCTGATGGTATTTTATCTTGGGTGCACTAACAGATTTTGCTACTCTGAGTAAATGCATAAGAATCTAGAAAATACTTGAAAAAAAATGATTTGAACTTTGACGAAACGTCGCACCTGCTTTTTAGCTAGCAGCTTTCTTGCTGCAAATCAACACCTGAGACCTCCAAACATTCAGCGACTGATTTTAAGGTCAATAATCCTTTCTCCACAGGATCGCTTACGGGAGCAAAGCTCATCTCCTCAACATGTTTTTGTACCTGTTGGGTCTGCTGCCTTTAACTCACCTGATAATGACCCTGAGGCCCTGCACGAACACCACCGTGACAGGCGAGCTTGATATCATCATGGTGCCCATTTCTTTCACAGAGGTATCTGCAGTCCCTCGACACATCCAACATTGTTTTTACTGGCTGACAAAGTTTGACCGTGATGCCTAGTTTTTAAATCTGAGACATTCTAATGATGTTACCGCCTTCACAGCAAAGCGTCTTCCTGTCCTTCTGCATGGTGATGGTCTTGGTCATGAACATCTATTCAATAGCAAAAGAAGTGGTGCAGATATCACAGCAGGTACAGCACAGTAAGGCGTTTTTGTGGGGAACTCTTGCAGTCAAGTATGAATTCATTCTGGTTAGATTTGAAAAAACCTCAGTTTGAATGTGACCATGACACATTAGCTTAATCGTTTGGTTAGCAGAGGAACTTTTTTTTACATGTTATAAAATAAATAGTAACAATTTATGGAATTAGTTGCACTTCTTTAAAGGGCAAGTTCACTGAGAAACCTTTTTTTTTACTTGTTATTTAACATTAGCGGTCACTAATTGTGAATATAGTCTTTACCCGTATTTCCTGAGTTAGCCACCGATAAAAGACGAGGAAATGCTCAGATTAGAAAGGCCAGTCAGATCTACGTCACACTGAAAATGAACATTCATGGACTCACTCACCTTGGCTCACAACCCTAGAAGGGTGTTGATGATTTGGGTCCAGGAAAGAGCAGAGCACATATCAGCTAATAGAAGCTAAATGTTAGCATTAGCAACTCCACATCATGGCAGACCTCCTTCAGGCTTGTGTTATTTGTGGAGATAAAACATCAACGTTGCAAAGCAAAAGGAGGCAGTGGACGAGTTGCCTTGCTGTTAGCCAATCAGAGGCAAGATATCAGAATATCAGAAAATAAGTGCTCCTCACTCCTCTGACTAACTTGTACTACCTAAAACAGGAAAGAGATTGTCCAAAAGGCATTCATTTATACTAGAGACCACTGCAAATGTGTTGAAATAACAAGTGAACCTTAAAGTAACACAGAGCAATTTCCTGCTTCTCCACCCTACAGGTTGAAAGTGGAATTACAAGTTTAATAAACAACCCTGCTGCAACCTGCTGTAGCTAGTACTAACAACGAGCTAACACTAACATGAGCCAACTAATACTAAAATTAACCACAACTTAAAAAGTTCCACATTGTTGGACAAAAATATTACTGTTGGTCCCATAGTAACAAAGCCAGGTCACCAACAGTCCATGATTTTGTAGCCTCCTTTAGCTCCTTCAAACAAGTGTAGGCCGTAATGTTCACTACGGTTTTAGCTCTTTGCTTTACATCCAGACTCTTTTACTTCCATGTTTCGCCATGGCCAACAGATAGAGCAATGTTCTTCTTGTGCTTTTTATTGACGATCGGTGAACCGAATATGCTAAACACTAGAATTACAGCTAACAGTGGTAAAGCAGGTAAAGGGCGCCCCCTCTAAGACACCTACCCACTCCACAAAACTATCATATTTGGTTTTTGGTCAGCAGAAAGCTGATAAGTTGTGTCATATATGAAACTGGTCAAGTTTCTAACCCAACAATCATTGAGATCACTGTTAAAGCTCTAGCTTAAAGTTTAAAACATTTCTATTGTTACTTTAATGGTTAATCTGTTTGTGTTTTTTCTTGTTGTATTAAAGCGGTGGAATTACTTCAGGGATTATTCCAACCAGTGTGACTGGACTTCGGCCATCTTCTCTCTTCTGTTCATCATTCCCCTTATGCTTAATGCTGAGGGATCTTTACACTGGCAAGCAGGAGCGATGGCCATTTTAAACTCCTGGATAGGATTTCTCCTTTATCTCCAGAGGTATGTTCCCTTTGATACTAACGATTTCGCTTCAGCACAGAGTCTTCTGATTGTTTTGGTGCAAGTATGGCCTACTCTTCTGTGCAGGTTCGAGGGTGTTGGCATCTATGTTGTGATGTTCGGGGAGATCATGAAGACGCTGGTCCGGATTGTGATGCTGTTTTTGTACCTGATGCTGGCATTCAGTTTGGCATTCCACGCTCTTATGCTGAATCATGTATGTTGGTGTGGATTCTCAGTCACCCAGGACTATGATATTGAGAGTTTTCAATAAAGACAACTGGACTTTCCTTGGAGAGGTTTTGCCTCAGCCAAGAGGCTTCTTCAGCTCAGAAACTTGGGTTGGAAGTATTAGGCTTATAAGACGTAATAGAAACCTCTACTAAGGTTAGGACTGGAAACTCATGTGAGCTTGATGGCCTTTTATCGACCTCTATTGCTCTATCAGTGTGGCTTTTTTATTACGACTTTTAAGCCTCATTTTTCCAACCCAAGTTTCAGAATGTGAGAAGCCTTTTGGATGAGAGGAGAAATTTCCGATAACAAGAGAAGTCCAGTTGTCAAGGCTGAGTCATGCATACAAAACACAAGACGTTTCAATAACATAATCTTTGCCTTTTGCTGACCTGTACATTGGTTCTCTGTTTGCCTTCAGAAAGAATTTAACAGCATGCCGCTGTCTGTGATACAAACCTTTGTGATGATGGTTGGAGAGTTGAACTACCAGAACAACTTCCTGGATGCTTTTCTGAACTATCAGCTTCCTTTTGGCATCCTGACTTATGTCATTTTTGTGATCTTTGTTTTGCTCATGCCGATTCTGCTGGTGAACCTGATGGTAAGCATCTCCTGAGAATGTTCACATCTCCTCAGTTCTTTTTTACAGGTCGATACAACGGGATTTTGTTAAACTGGGTACCGTTGCACCCTCATGGCCGTGTCGTTAGAGCTGTTTTATTAGAAAACAAAAATTCCTGATAAACTGTTTTAGCCTCAGTTTTAGATGCAAATATCCTCGTCTACTGTTTGGTTTCAGATTACCCTCTATGACCCTTCTTCCAAGCACAATCTCACAATCACAGGTTTGAACCGCTTCTTGTTGGATTAGGACCTTGCTACACTCTCGATGAACCACATGCCATAGTCATGAAACTGCTACATACTCAGTACTCCGCCATTCTTTCTACTTCAGCAGCACAATTGCACCCCTCCACACTGACAACATTAACATCCATCTATGCACCAAAAGATCATGCCATGCTAGCATTATGCTAATAATGAACACCATAGCCCAGGCAGTCAACCAGTGTGATCAAGCCTGCAACAAATGATCAATGGCCAAGCCACACCATGGCTCACGAGCATCCAACTTCACCACTACGTTTAATCCAGAACCAACCCAGTATGATGCTACAAGGATAAACCACCAAAAATTAGCGCTTTGCCAAAAAATGGTGGAACCCAATATTACATTGCGGTTGCGTTTTTTTTATTACAAAGGAGAGCGAATCAAGGCCATGACAAAGTTGTGTTGTTTTTAGCCAATCAGAGGTGATCTGTTTGCACATCATAAATATTAATGAGTAAGATTCTAAATCCTGCCGTTTTCCATCACCCAATCCTCTGGCTACCTGAAACAGGAGCGTGAGAGCTTTTTTGTCCCCCAGAAAACAACTCAAAAGGGATTCATTCATAATGGAATCACAGCATATTTATAAAAAATAATGTTTATGCCCACTTTAAGACGTTCCTGCATCCCTGCAAAGATCATCAATAATTAGTTGGATTTTTAAAGTTGTAGGGAGGTCATCATACTGTCTGAAAAGGACCTTTATTACAAAACCGGCCAACAAATACAAACCATAAAACCACTAAAATGATGTTATGGCCAGAGAAGGACCTGCTAATGGCCCCTTTGCAACCAGGTCATAATTCTTCCATGACACACTGGCTCCTTAAGCCCTGAGATTACTAATGGTTCATTCTTCTTTGTTTTGTTTGAGTTTTATGGGTCACAGAATAATAAGATTTCTAACCTAGGGACAAACACATTTTTAGGGCACTGTTTCTTTGCCAAGTCTGACTTTGTGGTGATTTCGGAGCCCAAATGTGTAATATATAACGCTTTAAATGTTTTAGCTGTTATTTTGTATTCAATCAACAATTGTGTTTAGTTTCTAATTGATCATGTAAAGTAAAATATTTCACTGTGGGAGACTGTATCTTCTAGGGATAAAAGCCCCACCTTCTTACCAGGTTATTTTAGGCATCAACAAATAATTGTATTTGAATAATGACTATTAGAACCCCCTGAAATAATCTGACAAAAATTTTAAAGGTGTGAAACACTAAAAAAACATTTTAAAAATCTTATCTCTGATTGGTTATTCTGAGGCTGAACATGAAAACAGTCTCCTACACTTATCTCCTGCCTTAGTGTCTGATAGAAAATAACAGTGAAAATCTAGGATTAGAAAATCTTGACAGATCTACGTCACACCGTCTCTTAACATTCAGGGACTCGCCCATCTTGACTCGCGGCGGGGAAGGTTGTTGTTGGTTTGGCGTCCTGGAAACAGCAGAGAACGTCTTGGCTAATAGAAGCTAACTGTCAGCATTAGCAACTCCACCACATAGCAGAACTCCTCCTGGCTTGTGTTATTTGTGGAGATAAAACATCACCGTTGCAAGTCAGCGGTAGAGTCACGTTGCTGTTATCCAATGGAAGGTGAGATGTCCAAATATCAGGAAATAAGTCTCCAAAACCTTCTGTCTGAAGCTCAGCTGTGGCTTACTTCTAGTTCCTGGAAATGATAAATCGATGTTTTGACTAACAAGGCCTTCATTCCTACTAGACCGCTGCAAATGTATTGATTAAGTTCATCACCTTTAATATATTTAGTCAGGACTATACTTCTATTTATTTTAATGAAGGGGCGGAGCTTAATACTTGTAGGATCAGCCATTAGAGATTGCTTTCACTCCACTCTAACTTGGGTAAATCGTTTTTTTTTTTTGGTTTTTTTTTTTTGGTATGCAACATTGTGTTTTAGTTGTAGTCACATCAGCTAATTACTAAGCACGGTCCTGTGTTGTAGATTGGTTTAGCGGTCGGAGACATCGCCGAAGTCCAGAGGAATGCTTCCCTAAAGCGAATAGCTATGCAGGTGAGTATAGAGCAGTCTAAATTTACATGATTGCATGCCGTGTCAGTTTATTTAACAAATAAACAAAGATTAATTACGTTTACTTTTTAGGCTTTCTTTATTTTTTGGAATACTCATGGTAGATTTAACACCCTGTTTTTTTACGTCCAAAAAGGCAGAGCTGTAAAGTGTTAATTATGAAGAAAATGCCTGAGAATGATTACATTTTTGGTTTGTTTTAATTGCATAAAACTTATAAGCATTTTTTTAAATCTCAGATTGATCTCCACACTGCTCTCGAGGATAAGCTCCCCTACTGGTTCATGAAACGAGTCGACAAGCCTTCCATCACCATCTACCCAAACCGCAAGTGCTCCAGGGTAAACTCAGTAAATAACAAACGTTCTTCAACTCATTCAGTTGAGTCTTTTGTCTCCTTTAACAATGTCCGCTGCTTTTTTGCAGCACTTTCTGAAACATCTCATCTCAGGTGAAGAGGAAAAAGACGACGTGTGGAGTCGTCTGCAGTCCAAGAGCCAAACTTGCTCCTTTATACAGGTTGAGCTCACAAAGCAGAAGTCCAGGTAAAATATTTGAAATGCAAAGCTTGGGAATGAGGTAGTAAATACAATTCTAACTTATTTAGTAATAGTTGGCTCCAAGTTAATGAAGAGTGGATTGTTTTTTTATGCGTGAGTTCCCCCTAGTGTCTAATCCCTGTAGTTCTGTCCACAGAACATTCTCACTCTTTGCAAAACCTCCTAAACTTCTTCTTCTGAACCAAGTCCAACACTAAAGACCCTCAGCTGATGCTCTCATCGTTCGTTTTGCTCTCTCTCTGCAGAATGAAGGAGATGTCAAACATTCTGGAGAAACAACACGGCCTTCTGAAGCTCATCATCCAGAAGATGGAGATCACATCGGAGGCCGACGAGTACGACGGTCCAGTGAATGTCAGAGGCAGCATGTGGCCTAGTTTGAGTCAGGCTAAAGCGAGAGGCGGCAGCACGTCTCGATGGGTCCCTCTGATAAAGGCCATTGAGTCCAAACGCAAATGAGGAAGACAACAGCAGGAATTTATCCTATCACTATAGACACATCTAGATGTAAACCATGTCATTTGACCATGAAATGGGTTTAATTGTGATTATTTGTTGGGTTTTTGTTTTATTTTGTTTGAACCCATTCTTTAAACTCTGCATGTTACAATTCTGTGTAGCTAACTTTCATTTGTTGTGAACCAATAATCTGATTTTAATCCATTTTTAAAGAACTGAGAATAACAACGATAACAGCTGCATTAAATATCTCAATATTTAATATATTAATGTGAGCAAAAAGTGTTATTGTGGACAAAAAGAATAACTCTACTTTATCATAAGTCACTTAATGGGCATGCAGGTGAATTTGCTTGTGGGTGCCAAAAGCTGCACAGTTGATAATCGCTGAGGTGAGACCAGGGGCGGATTTAGGACTGAAGAAGACACGCGCGCGCACGCACACACGCACGCACGCGCGTGCACACACACACACATGACACGCACTAGTCAACATCATATATGTCTTGTACCACATAATTTTTAATCTGAAGCTACACATTAAGCATTTTCAGGGCAGAGTATTGTTCCTGTTAGTGTTTAGTGTGAGATGATAGTAAATATTCCCTTTCTTTCCCCAACCACTTCACCTGATAGTAAGCTAACTTTAGGCAAACCAGCAGCACAACAAATATTTTCAAATAAGACTCACAAACCTGAGTCAACACCAGTCTCATCAAAGCTGGGGTTCTGTCGCAGTACTTTTTGTCTTAAAAAAAACGTTCTTATGTCCATCTTCACTCATGCGTTTCAGGCAGAGACTGCAGAAGAAGCCGGCTGCTGAAGGGCTTCTTCTTCAGTGGTGGAGGCTCAGGCAGGCTGTATACAAACTACTGCCAGCTGCTCCCTCTCTGTTGGACTTTGGTACTGCATGTTACTTTCGCGATTTAGATCCGTGCTTTCCATGAAACATCCGGGGCTTCAGCCCAAGTAGCCGGGCCTAACGCCACCCCTGGGTGAGACTAAATCTCTCGTGTCTTGTCTTAGATGTCTTACATCATGAAAACTAAATAAGGTTTTAAAAATAGGATTTAAAATGTTAAATTGCTTTAGATTTTTATCACCCTGCATGTAGGTGTGTTTTAGCAACAACTGGAAGGATTTAAAACCACTTCTACCTTGCTGTAGAGTGTAGGCAGCTTGGGGTGTCGTGTCTGATCTGCTTCCCCGTGTAAACGAGTGAGTTTGTAACGGCCATGGAGAAAAGGTTTGTTCAGAGAAAAGCTTGACTGCACATATAATGGACGATCCCTCTGCGTCGGACTACTGCTAGAGATAGCCGTGAACTAATGCTAGTGCTAGCCCGGACCCCTGCTAACGCTAGCCTGGATTACTACTAATGCTAGCCCAGGCTACTGCAAATGCTAGCCTGAGCTACTATTAAAGCCTGATTTACATTTCTACCGTCTGTGTCAGGGTGGAGACACGCAACGCCATTATGCGCCGGCGCAAGGGCTCTCAGACGGGATCACAGAGGGTGATGCATAGTGGAAAAAGTCCAAAAATATGAACGTTTATTCACCCGTGACTACAGGAGTACAAATTACGGGGCAAACGTGGACAGAAATTACGGGAAACGTCGGTTTACAGGTGGCGACCGCAGGAAGAGGTGGGGAAAATGAAGGACAAATTTGTCCGTATAATAAAGTCTCTGAAATATGTAAACACATTAGTAAATGCACCAAATACATGAGTATTATAGTGGCTGGATACCGCAGAATAGCGCTACGCCCTCTGTTGTCCTGACAGGAAATCGTTTTGCAACACTCCGCTGCCTGTGCAGGAGTTCGCAACTTTTCGACACTCCATATGCGTCTCTCCGCTGTGGAGCTCACGGAGAAGTTAAAATAAGGCGTAATGCTATCCTGAGTTACTTCTAACGCTAGCCTGAGCTAATACTAAAATCTTTGTTGGACAAGAGAATTTTTTTTTATTTGGCGCAGCACTCATGTTCGAGGACGCACTGGGAATATCTAGACTTTGATTGAATGCCAGAATCCACATCTTAGTAAGTACATTTTATTAGAAATTTATTTTTAAATGTAAAATTCCATTGAGATTCAAATTTGAGTTATAAATTGGGAAAACTAAAGATCTTGCGGTCCGTGTCCGCTTCCACTTACATCCACAAACCCCAGCTCCACAACCCGCTGTACACAAGTAGGTCTGTGATTATATTGGTTTTCATCAAGAGTTTGTACATAACATGTATATCCGGCTAAATAAACGGATGGAAGAGTCTAACTAAATGCATGTAACAATGATTAAAAAAAACTCCAAATATTAGGTTGATTCAGCATCTTTTTGTCACCCGTCAGCTGTGGTCCAAACTGCTGCACCAAAAGCCCCAGGAACCAAAAAAGACCAGGAGTTCCTCCTGTGACATCATGAGCCAGCACCTGTCTCTCTGCTTCCACGGCACCAGCCTCTACAACAGGTCACGACCCCTAAAAGTCTCTGCTGATAGACTAAGGCTTTCCCTCACATCAAGTCCATGTCAAAGTCTTATTTAGTGCTATTGCATTTAATTATCTCCAGGGCTAGCACCACAACCGTAAAGCTTTCAGTCACGCTGCGGCTGTTTTGGACAGAATTTTTTACTTTTACGTGAGGAAGTGCGCAGAGTGACCTCCACCCCCCCCCCCCCCCCCCCCCCCCAAACAACTGTGAACATGGCGGTAGCTTGAATTATGTTTCATGCCATGTTGCCTTTTGTGTGTTTGGCAAAAAAATAAATAAAAGTTACGACAGCTTGACAGTTGAGGGGTACATCCAGCAGCAGAAGCCCTGAGCTTGCACCTTCAGGGGTGTCAGTCAGGCCTTTCACCCTGCTGATGGATGCGGTGGCAGAGGATGGCTTGGCAGTCTGCCTAAAGCTCGGACTCTTCTTCTGACACAACTTCATATTTCAACGTCATGACTCATCCAAGGATAAGTTCATCCATCCAGATGAAAGAAAGGCACAACAACGAGTTGCGGGATAGCTTCATGCCACAAAGATGTTTGAAAACCTCAGTTTTTTTTCCTATTTGTTAAGGTGAGATCAGAGCCAACGAGCTGCTGGGAAGTTTACACTCATCCGAGGAAAACACTGCTTCCAACAGAGTGTCCCTCTTTTCCCCTCTAGTGACCTTGGTGTGGCTGCTTTCCAAAGCCAGACATGAATCTCAGCTGTGGTTCTCCGATTCGTGGCAGGCTGTTTATAAAGTTGTTTGTAACAAAGATTTCACAAACGTTTTCTGCTGTAATGACAGCAGCAACTTGGAATTTTTTGGGGAATATCTGAAAAGTTTCGTCAGTTCCATTTGAGAATAAATATAACATCCAAATTGTAAATAAATAAATAAATAAATTGTTTTATGAGAAGGAAGATGGGGGCCTCTTTGCATCTGCCACGCCCTTGTCATGCCAGCGGTCCAGATGTCATGGGAACCAATAACAGCTGGTCCTGGTGCCGCTGCGTGTGAAAAGCTGCTCCATCTGCAGAAACCCAATCCCTCTGTGAAACCAGCACGGGATTAGGCACTTTTGATAAGGTCCTCGAGACATTTCTATTTCCAAAGAACATCAGGAACAACAAACTGCTGAGGTGTTTACTGGACATGCATGCAATGTGCACAATGTGAAGGTTCCAGCCTGAAGTTTAAGTTTCTTTGGTTAGAATCAATCCTGCAGACCGTCGCTGGAATTACCAATAAATTCCCAGAGATTAAGTGGATTAGTCAGATGGAGATGAGCAAGTCTTTAACAGAGATGTGGCCTCACTGAGGTCATGGTGTCTTGGAGAAAAGGGGAGGAGAAAGCGACTGAGCAGGATTCTTAAATCACAGAAGTCGAAAGAACAGTTTCAGTTTTAGGAGCTTCTTATCTCACTGGTTTATTTAACATTTACGGCTTAAAAATGGGAATTTAAAAAGATTCAGTCCCAAATTATTCCTTTGACTCTGGTGGAGCCGTGACGCACAGGTGGAACAGCCATGTCCACCGGCTCTGCTACAAGTGATGCTGAAGACAACGAGACACGTGACAGAATCCGTCTGAAGAGGACAATCACCCGGCACGGCTCGGGTGAAGATCTGGAGGATGACACTGCGAAGAGGATCGTCGAACAGAGCCGCAGCGGCAGAATCTCCAAGGCGCGCCTGAAGGAGGCGCGGCAGACGCAACGGAACGCGGCCAACGCGCGCGAGCGGGCGCGCATGAGAGTGCTGAGCAGAGCCTTCTCTAGACTGAAAACCAGCCTGCCCTGGGTTCCAGCGGACACCAAGCTGTCCAAACTGGACACCCTCCGTCTCGCTTCCAGCTACATCTCCCACCTCAGGCAGCTGCTGCAGGAGGACCACTTCGAGAACAACTTTGCGCATCCTGTCAATCTGGTACGGAACTGCGCCAAAACGACACCAGCAGTTTAAAGTTAAAGTAAAAGTAAAACAAAGCTCCATTTTTAATTACTTTGCATGAAAAACACAATTATTTGTATCTGATTTGCTTTAAAACTGGTTAATTAGAATCCTTTATTAATAAAAAATCGTTTTTTTCCCCTAGACATGGCCATTTCTGACCATAGGACGATCAGATGATGACGTCACTTCCACTGTCAGACTATAAACACCTGTCTGCTGGAAAACAGGACTCAGAAAAAAAATCCATCACCTGTGTGACCTTTTCTTTTTGTCTTAAAAGCTGAAACAGTTTTACTTCCGTGCTGCACAGATAAGCATCGTGTGACGAACCCAGAGGTTCTGCTCTCTGATATCCTGGAGATCTCCTGCTGCAGGCCCCAAGTCCTGCAAACCAGTCGCACACCACCAGAGGCCAGCAGAGAGTGTTGTGGAACAGCTGCGTCCAATTGCTCATCAGCCGCTCCTGAAGCCTTTTTAAGCCTCCTAACTCATCATTCATGGAGACACAGCTACAGAGGAGACTTAGTGTTAAAACCGTGGTCGCTCCTAGACTCTGTATAGTAACTGTGATCTCCATTCGTAGGTTTTGGCTTGCTGTCAGTGTCCTAGAGTTTTTGCTATAGATATTGGTTGGCTGGTAGTATCCCCGAGTTAATAAGTTTAATACAGTTAAAGGATATAGATAAAATGTGCTTTTTGCCTCCTGTTATTGTTTAATCTCCCAATCCTCAGTTTAGCTTGACTTTGTTTTGTTTTGGAGGATTTTTAGTTAGGCAGATTTCTAGCTTCTGTTTTCGTTTTAGTGTTTAGTGTTTAGTGTTTTCGTGTTAATGGTTTAGGTTTACTCTTTTTGTTTCTTTAGTGGTCGGTTTAGTTTAAAATAGGTGTGTTTTGCTTTCTTGGACTCCTCTCCCTGGTTAACACCAGAGCGCAGAACATCAGAGAGAGCGCTTTAAGTTGTTGTTGGTGTGCTGCTCCCTGTTTTAAGCAGAGTGAGTTTATTTAGTTTGTTTATTAAATACATTTTACCCCACTTTTGTAAATAAACCTTTTGAAAAACAACAATTTCATTAAACTCCTTCCATTCACTTATTTCCCATCACAAACAGACACCATCCATCATTGTCCTTTCCTTTTTATTTTACATTATTTTATTTTACTGTGTTCTCCCCTCACCACTCCTAGATGCCAGAGGGGGCGTAACAATTTGATGTAACTTCATTTTAATAAGATGTCACTTCCAAGCATAAAGTTGGCTTTGTCACTTTCCTATGAACCTCAATACAAGAACTCAGCACTGCTCATGTATCTTGTCATTTCTGTAAATTCTTTATTTTATTTATTTTTTCCATGTCCTGTTTGGCTGTGAAGCAAACAGAATTAATGTCTGAATGCTGGTGACAGCATTCAGACATTTCTGCAAATTCTGAAAATCAGATTTGTTTTTGATCTTGGCAGCAAGATTGTTGTAAAATAAAAATATTAGAAATGCCATTCTGCAATAATCATTCACAAAAGGCTACAACAATTCAAGGGATGAGCCACATTTTAACAGGAAAGCATGTTGATATCATATATTTTTGTTTCTTTGGTGGAATTAATACAACAAAGAAAACAATTTAGCAAGGTGTAAATAAATATTTTCAATCAACTAATATTTTACACTCAAAACACGATTCTTAGCATCTGCTAAACATTTTATACAAGATTCAACAAAAATCAGAAAATTACTATCTATATTTTTTTAAAGTAGAGACAATTTAAAACCTAAACTAAGTATGTTTAGTAAACCCTACTTAAGGGCTATTCAATTCCAATGAGGTTTGTCTCTCACCGAATGGAATGTTTTCTAAGACATCACAATATAGCTAAAGACACATTACTTGTCTTTGTGTGTGTGTGTGTGTGTGTGTGTGTGTGTGTGTGTGTGTGTGTGTGTGTGTGTGTGTGTGTGTGTGTGTGTGTGTGTGTGTGTGTGTGTGTGTGTGTGTGTGTGTGTCTTCTCGATCCCCAGTGAGTCATGGAGGATGGCTGCTACTTCTACTGAGCCAGGATCCTCTGGAGGTTTCTTCCTGTTAAAAGGGAGTTTTCCTCTCCACTGTCGCTTTATGTTTGCTTAGTATGAGGATTGCTGTGAAGTCATTGACACTAGTCAGTGACTTGATGCAATTTGCTGGGCTCCTTATATAGGAAACATTATTTCTAATTGGCTTAATGAACTGACCTGAATTGGAATGTTTATTATGTGAAGTGCATTGAGACGTCTCTTGTCGTGATTTGGCGCTATATAAATAAACTTGAACTTGAATTCCGAGTTTTAAGGGCCGGTTTTCCGCACGTTTTGGTTTTAACTCTGCTTCAACACACCTGATTTCAATCAGCAGGTGATTAACCGGCTTCTGCAGAGCCTGATGAGCTGCTGCACAGGTGATTAAACCACTGAATCATGTGTGTTGGACTATTAATTGATCGCATCATCTTTGGTTGCCACTTTTTTCTCCAAGATTTTATTTTACTGTTGCTGATCATGCTGAGATGTACACTGTAAAAATGAATCGTTGAATGAACATAAGTTATATGTAAACTATAATATACATTTACTTTTAACCAGTGTTGGGAACGTTACTTTAAAAAAGTAATTAGTTATAGTTACTTATTACTTTGTCAAAAAGTTTGTAGATTATAAAAGTAACTAATTACTAAGAGAAAAAACAATTTCCGTAACTTTTTTTAATTAAAAAAATGCAAGAAAAATAGAATCCCCCCCAAATGAAACTTTTTTACCTATAAATTACTACAATACAAAGATATAAATGACTAAATAGAGTAGAACATAATAAAGTGCATAACCAGTTGTTTATTATGAAACTGAAAAAATGATATAGACAGGCTCTTAGGAGGAAGAACTACAAACAGGAAACATTTGTCATGATCATGCCCTGACGTCTGTGTTTTCCTGTCTCCCTGCAGCCAGAGGCGGATTTAGCAATTTGGGGCCCCAAGGTGAACACAGACATGGAGCCCCGAACACAAAATTTTCAACAATCTTATCTTTAACTGGATTAGCGAAACTCTCCCCTCTTCTGAAATGAGTAATTTTCCCTTTTTATTAGTCCTCCTCTTATTTCCTATCTTTCTCTCCCTTTGAGTGGTTTCATTATTTGCTCTGCTTTCTTCTTCCTGTTAGTGCTCCTGTACTTTAGCCTTTGTTTTTTTTTCTTCTATTTTCCATTTTGGTCCATGTTTTCCTCTCTTTAAACATTTTCCATTGTCTTTCCTTTCTGCTTCCTTCTGATGTTTACATCGAAAAGCAACGTCACTTTCAGAAGTGAAGATAAAAAGCTGCTTTTTTTCTCTTATTGGAGCCACTAGGATAACTTCATTTCATGCTTAATGTTTTGACTACCACTTCGAGTTTGTTTTGAATGCTCCCGCCTCTCTTCTTACTCTTCTGCTTTTTTCTTCTTCTTATTTGTGGTCTTATGGCACTTGGCAAACAACACTTTGGTGCATTACTGCCACCAACTGGATTGGAGTGGAATGACTACCAGTCACTTCCTGTTTGTGCATTGGCGTCTTAAAGGAATAGTCCATTGTGACATTGACAGAGGGGTGTCGGTGGTCAGGGCTAGCCCCCCCCCCAACATAAGGGGGCCCCAGGCGGCCGCAGCCCTATGCCTAATGGTAAAACTGCCACTGCCTGCAGCAGCAGTAGTCTAAGCTGATTAATTCCACCTGTGCTGTTCCCTATTTAAGCACCTGGCTCCTGCTGCTCAGTGCGAGATCGCCTGCTCCCTTGTCACAGTCTGTTGAGCGTTTAAACCTGTCTGCCCATCTATTGCCCAACCTCTGCCTGTCTGACCACAGAATCTGTCTGCCTGCCTATCACCTTAGTCCCTGTCTGGGCCAGAGTAATCATCTTTATCGGCAGCCCTCACCACAGAATGCTGCTGCTGTTTTCAGGAAGCCACGCTGCCCGGAACCGACTCCAGCAGGACCGGATCGCTGTATCAAGTCCTTAAATAAACATTTTAAAACTTTCTCTGTGTGGCTGTTGGATCCGGCTGATCGACACTAGGTCTGACCGTGACAACATTACACTAATCTAAACTGTTCAAACATCACGATGTGATATTTAACAAGATGCCATTCAACAAAAATGTATTATTGCAAATAGAAAACATCTATCAAGGGTTCCCGAGCCTTTAAATGTTTTTTAGTCGAGTGGAATTACTGAAACAAAGGTAATTTTGCAGTGTTCTAATTTTTTCAGATTCACATAATTGTATTTTATTATTTTTATTATTTGTAATCTAGTAAGAGTCAAAAATGACACCAGAACTGGCACAAATCGGATGGAGGACATAAATTGACGAAGAAGTGATTAAACGGGGTGATAAAGACACACACTTAGTACTAATAACACCTGAGCGCCCATGATGTCTGAGACCAATACAGCCAGTGTTGCAGTGGGACTGCTTGGATGAAAACACCCGTTCCTTTAGCTCCTGATCAGCCGATGACAGCTTCAACAAACCGCACTGTTGTGTTATATACAGGTCCTTCTCACAAAATGTGCATATTGTGATAAAGTTCATTATTTTCTGTAATGTACTGATAAACATTAGACTTTCATATATATTAGATTCATTACACACAACTGAAGTAGTTCAAGCCTTTTATTGTTTCTAATATTGATGATTTTGGCATACAGCTCACGAAACCCCCAAAATCCTATCTCAAAAAATTAGCGTATCATGAAAAGGTTCTCTAAACGAGCTATTAACCTAATAATCTGAATCAACTAATTAACTCTAAACACCTCCAAAAGATTCCTGAGGCTTTTAAAAACTCCCAGCCTGGTTCATTACTCAAAACCTCAATCATGGGTAAGACTACTGACCTGACTGCTGTCCACAAGGCCATCATTGACACCCTCAAGCAAGAGGGTAAGATGCAGAAAGAAATTTCTGAACCAAAAGGCTGTTCCCAGAGTGCTGTATCAAGGCACCTCAGTGGGAAGTCTGTGGGAAGGAAAAAGTGTGGCAGAAAACGCTGCACAACGAGAAGAGGTGACCGGACCCTGAGGAAGATTGTGGAGAAGGACCGATTCCAGACCTTGGGGGACCTGCGGAAGCAGTGGACTGAGTCAGGAGTAGAAACATCCAGAGCCACCGTGTACAGGCGTGTGCAGGAAATGGGCTACGGGTGCCGCATTCCCCAGGTCAAGCCACTTTTGAACCAGAAACAGCAGCAGAAGCGCCTGACCTGGGCTACAGAGAAGCAGCACTGGACTGTTGCTCAGTGGTCCAAAGTACTTTTTTGGGATGAAAGCAAATTTTGCATGTCATTCAGAAATCAAGGTGCCAGAGTCTGGAGGAAGACTGGGCAGAGGGAAATGCCAAAATGCCTGAAGTCCAGTGTCAAGTACCCACAGTCAGTGATGGTCTGGGGTGCCATGTCAGCTGCTGGTGTTGGTCCACTGTGTTTTATCAAGGGCAGGGTCAATGCAGCTAGCTATCAGGAGATTTTGGAACACTTCATGCTTCCATCTGCTGAAAAGCTTTATGGAGATGAAGATTTCATTTTTCAGCACAACCTGGCACCTGCTCACAGTGCCAAAACCACTGGTAAATGGTTTACTGACCATGGTAGTACTGTGCTCAATTGGCCTGCCAACTCTCCTGACCTGAACCCCAGAGAGAATCTGTGGAATATTGTGAAGAGAAAGTTGAGAGACGCAAGTCCCAACACTCTGGATGAGCTTAAGGCTGCTATCGAAGCATCCTGGGCCTCCACAACACCTCAGTA